GCTGTAATTGATTTTGTTAGCATCAGAAAATGCCTTTATGGTCTAAGTTCCTTTTAAATAAGAAGCTTATTTAAACTTTTGTCTTATATTGTAAATACTTTCAGACATAGCGATAATATGCTTCACTTCTGTCGGGAGGGGGTGGACTATTAACAGATCAAGTAAACCCTCATAGGTACATTGTGGAGAGGTTGGCAAGTTAGGACATAAAGCACGCAGAAACGTGTGAGAGCATTGGTTTGCATATTGAGACAAATCTTTAATTGTTAGAAAAGGTGCTTAATAAAGAGAAGGAAATCGATGTAAAGTAGCCAAAATAGGAAAGCTTCAAGTTAAAATGATGAATAAATATATTTGAGTGTTGTTGTTACAAGACATATATGTTTTGTAGCTTTCAATGTGTAATTATCCTAATGTCATGAATTACATGTATTTTAAACTGTGAAATGTTATTAGATTTTTATTTTAATAGTGTTTTTTTTAACAAATATTGTTAAAAAAGTAAAATTTAATAGTGGCCATATAAATCCATAATGACTAAGGTTATCAAACTACCTAATTTATTTATTTATAACTAACTGCTTACCCTTAAAAATTATCTTTACATATTAAAGCAAGTTATTTATTCATTAATACTCACTGTGGTCACAAGATAAAATAAAAAAAATGTAAAAATTCGAGTAAACTTAGCATCTAGTGAGACTTAAAGTAATACAAAACAGTTTATCACCTCTGGTGCTCTCATGGCTTATTGGAACTTTATGAAGTATATTAACTGGGTTACAACCCCTATAACTCTAGACGAGCTATGACACTAACTGCATCAAACAGAGCCTGACTAACTTTCAACACTTGCCAACTGTGCCTATATCAGGCCTTTCAGATTTGTTCTAAACAGCACGTCTCTCTCTAGACAAGCAGCAGGGGTGGCAACATTCATTCTTTTGTTATGAATCATGCTGATTATGATCTTGCTTCTCATTTTAACCTATGCCACTTGACATAAAATCTACATGCTGTTTACTAAACCTCTAGACTGACCAAGTATGTGACAAAATGACACACACACACACATACACACACACACACACACAAAAAAAAAAAAAAAACATAAAGCTAACTATTAGTAAAACGTAAATGTCACTTATAGTCTTTTAAATATATCCAACTATTATAAGTGTAAAATATTTAATATTACTTAATAAATTGCATAAAATTTATTTTATTCTCTAGCTTATTAATAACTATGTTAATTAATTCATGTTTAGTAATAATGGATACTACTTGGTGATCTATTTTATTTTTAGAATCATATACTGAAAATCTTCCTTTCCTTCTCAAACTATTTTCATCATTTCTAAAGCATCATCTAAAGTACTTTGCCACAGTTGAAATAATCGTGCCCAATGCCTAAGAGTAGCCAAATGTAGAAGAGGAATCTTTAGATGTTTCTGAAGATAAAGATATGCGTTCCTACTTAAATAGTGTAATGTGAATGCAGTTGACAATGTTTCATCATCCCATATCGCATTCTTTTTATGATTTGCTATTTTTTCATGTGATTTTTAAGTTTATTTTCCGGCACTGGAATTTTTTTGTTTTTTTAATATTTAATGCCGTTTTTACACTTATCTCTTCTCAGCTGTATCACTTCATTTTTTCAAATGCACTAATTGTTTCCTCAGGAAGAAAGGGGTATCATTGGTGGATTTTAACATTTTTTGTAAATTTTTAATTATATTTTTTTTGCTCTGTGTTTTCTCTCTGTGCATCAGGGTCTGTATATTAGAAACTCCCTAATATTGCCCAGAGCTTCACCACTGTCACTTTGTACAAATGTTTCAATGTTGTTTCAAGAGCAAGTTTTTCTCTAGCAAATGAATGGCATGAGAAAAACTTAAACGGCATTTGTATCATTAATCACTTTCTTAATCAACAGGATCTTTTGTCCATATAAAAAATGAAAGAATAGCCATCTTCTCCAGTATCTGAAATCATAATAAAATAGCTATTAATTCATTATAACATAAATTAAGAATTAGTAAATAAATTCAGCACATTATTTTATTCTACCATATTTCAGGAAGTTACATCTATTCATTTCAGTTTAATTATGATTAAGGATTACTTTAAAAATATATCTGTCTGAAAAATTTATTAAAATATGGAATTCTGTAATGTTATATAAATAAAAAATAATAAAAAATCTGAAAGCTTTCAATATCATGTTCTTCTCACTTAAACCATAAAATTCAATTCAAGAGCTATATCACAAAATATTTAAAAGAGCATATCTTTTAAATTTCCAATACGCGTGCTGGAGATAAAAATGTTTTTTCCCCCATGTAGTGTTCCCATTGCTCACTTTGAAATCATTGAGTTTGTTAATTAAAAATTCTTTAATGTCTGACAAAATATGAAATAGGCAATAGTAATAAATTCCAAATTAGGGCTTCCAGATGCTCATATTTTGTGGTGGATTACATCATTCAAAATTCAATGGCTCTAGGTGTCGTTGTTTTATCACAATGTGAGAAACATACATACATTTATGCACATTCTTCATTACTTAATTTCTTTAAATATAACACAGGGGGATAATATTTGGTGGCAACAATATGAAAAGTGAAACAGATGTTTAAAGTTTTCAATGCAAAACAAAATTAATAGCCCCTCTGGGCTAATGATCTATGCAATTTTTATTGTCTAAAATTTTTTCATTATTTTAAATTACAACATTTTGGAGGGCACCTTTAGCAACAATAATTGGAAATAAGACTTTTAGATTTAAATTAAGTGAAAAATTTGCGAGAAGGAAATTTGTTTCTAAATGGACAACAATAAAGATAACAGCTAAATAAAAATTAATCCGTAAATAAATTTATTTCCAAATGTAATTTATCAAAGAGTAATGAAGTTATACATGAAATAATTAAACATAAATCCACAGAAGCACAAATTACTTACTTTTTTATGTCCAGCAACTCTGCTTGTAAATCTTTCTTATATGAGTCTGCAGTAATATAGGCAGAACATTGCCTAGAAGTATTTGGATTCCTTTTATAGTCTCTATGGCAAAGATCAATCCATTTCCTTCTTTTTGTAGAATCACTTGAAAATTTGTGATAAAATATGCACTCAGATAAATTTTAATTTTTTTCTTCTAAACTGTTGTTGCAAAAGCAATGGCACATTGCATTCCAGGCATCTAGTAAAAGTCAGTAAAATAAAGAATTTCAAAGTTAATTTTTCTGTAGCATAAGTATTCTATAATATAAAAATATTCAGTTAATATTTTCATCTTTTGATATTAGAAGCATTTATTACATTACATTAATATATATATATATTGTTACAAATTTTGTATTTATATAGCTAACTTTAGTAGAATTATAATTAAAATTGTTGTATTTCCCCGTACAATGCAGTGAGAGACAAATTTTAAGAGAAGGCTATGCCAGAAAAGTAAAAATGCAGGAGTGCATGTACTTAACATTGAGTAAATGGATGTTTCGGTAATTTGTAAGTAAATGGATATTTCAGTAATTTGTATTCAAATTGAATAAATGTAATTGACCACTATGTTAGCTGTAACTGTAATTCCACCCTCTTATTGCTTTCCAGAAATCTTGAGGAGCACAAATTACTAGAAATTCTCATGACTGGTTGAAAACTATAAAAGGCTGGAGGGAGAGCATCTCGGTTCAGTTGTTTAGTTAGGTTCTTAGTTACTGTTGTTGTGAGTTTTAGTTCTGCATAAAATGAGATAAATCGGAGTTAGCCTTCTCTTTGGATACGCATTGCATCATATTTTAATATTTTTAGTAGTTTTAAGTATAACTACTGATTATACTGTGTGATATTGTGAATACTTGTACGAATATCTCTGAGGAAAGTTCCAGAGTTTTGATATATTTCTTTTGATAAGAATAAATTTTATTTACCTATTATCAGACTTGTGCATCCAGTCTATTATGAACCTATACCTATGCAACAATATATATATATATATATATATTGTTGCATAGGTATAGGTTCATACTTTTATAAACTTTATTCTCTAAATTAAGTTTATTAATAGTCATTTTGGTACAAAGGTATACAATATTCATCTACAAACAAGATGTGAACTTAATATTTTACCATTAGTACTGAAATATTTGGTAGTATAAATGTTTGATAATATACCACAGCATTAAAATAAAGCCAAACTGTTAGAAATTTACTAATCTTGAATAAAGATTCTCAGGAAATAGAGGACCTTGCAGGAGATCAGTATTCCAAAACTATGACATTGCATTTTTCCTGGTCTTCCTGTGATATTTGATATTTAGGCTTGATGCATGTGTTTTATATCTTGTAGCTTTAGCCCCAGAAATCTTTTGGAAAAATGGATCATAGAGCTTCAAAATATGTTTTTCCAAATCTTTCAGAAAGTTGCAAAGTTGGCAAGAAATCGCCATATTCATCAAGGGCAGTTAGAAATGAATTTACCCATATCTCACGTTTTACTTGAGCTATTTTATCATTCAAACATTCATGCTGTCAGAATTGAAAAATCTACAATTCTATACTAGAAATTGATGTTTAAATGTAAAGCATATGGCCACAAATTCAATTAAATTCAAAATAAACCCTAAAATTGTTATCCTAGAAGCAACGAATGCACAAATAACTAAGTAAAACAATACACAACACTATAGGAAAAAAAAAAAAATAAATAAATAAAGGATTTAAATATTTGTAAATTTTTAAAGCAAACACTTTTATATGATGTAAAAGATATCAAAAAATAATTATTTAACTGTACATGGAAGTTACTAAGAAATAATAATTTAACAACCCTGTTAAACCTCAGCAAGAGTTGTTTGGTGGCAACAATACAAAAGACACCTTAAATAGAAGTCATGAGAAGTTACAGAAGTATCATTCTTTTATTACTCTATTAAAGTTATATACATAACCTGATACATATAAAAGTGATTTTTCTGTTTTAACAGAGGTTTTGACATTGCCAATCACTTTTGTGAATGGTGCTTTGACTATGCTTTCCCTGAATACCCACATTTTCTGTACAAACCTGAAGAGTATCCGTCCATTGATCAACAGGTAAGTATGATGTAACTTAAATCTGTGTCATAATTCCAATTAAGTTTTTATTATGGTGCATAAATATGCGCACATTTTATGTATTAGGAACTGTAGAAGAGAAATTTTGGGGGAGGGGTGGGAGGGGAGATATTTAGAATTTAAAGGTAGTTATTACTAGTATTAGCCCCCTTTTCTGATAAATTTGTGTAAACTATAATTCGTACAAATTACTGTAAAATTTGTATAAACTGATCAGTGTATCTCAAACAAACTTGATTGCTATGACCCACACTGCAGTGTATGGAAGGAGAGAAAGATTCTTTTGAAAATAAAGTAATGTCATCAACATAGGCATGACTGTCTGGATAGTTCTGAAGAAAAAGGGAATTTACTGAGATACTGATACCAAATGCCAGATAACTGAAAATTATGGATAATTGAGAGTATAAAAAGTGCAGTTATCTGTAGAGAAACCAAATGAATGGGGAAAGAAATTCCTGGTCTACTGCATATACGATACACATGGGGAAAATCATGAAAACACCCACGCAGCCAGCCCACTCGCAGGGAATGGAAAGTTGGACCAAAGTACCAGTGTTCAACGGATTTGCTCGGGCTGCACCTGCTTTATTCACATATGCATCCAGAAGATACTGCATAGACGATACACATGCAGAAAATCACGAAAACACCCATGCAGCCAGCTTGTACACTGGCATTCGAAAGTTTGACTGAACTACCGGTGTTCAGTGGATTTGCGCGGGCTGTGCCCGCTTTATTCACGTATGCATCCAGAAGATACTGCATACATGATACACATGCGTAAAATCACGAAAACAGGCATGCAGCCAGCCCTTTCGCAGGTATTCGAAAGTTAAACCGATCTACCAATGTTCAGCGGTTTTGTTCAAGCTGTGCCCGCTTTATTCACATATGCATCCAGAAGATACTGCATACACGATATACATGCAGAAAATCACGAAAACACCCATGGAGCCAGTACTTTTGCCGCTATTCGCAAGTTGGACCAAACTACCAGTGTTCTGCGCCCACTTATTCACATATGCATCCACAGGATACTTCATAAACGTTACACATGCGAAAAATCTCGTAAACGGGCAGCATACAGGCAGCCCATTCACTGGTATTCGAAAGTTTGACCCAATTACCAGTGTTCAGCGGTTTTGCGCGGGCTGCGGCCACTTTGTTCATGTATACATCCAGAAGATACTGCGTACATTATACACATGCAGAAAATCAAGAAAACACCCATGAAAACAACAGCTAAATGAAGAGAGTGTTTCTATTTTATCAAAACAAAATTGAAAATGTATAAAATGTGAATGCAATTTTTAAAGGAACAGTAACAGAAATATATAACACGAATGAATAGATCTTTAAATAAATAGGAATCAAAACATTAAATATTGCAAAAAATCTAAATGTTGATACTTGTTTCAAGTCCGTAAGTTAATTAGAAGAAAAGTTGTTAATTTTTAAATGATTTTCCACGTTTAAATCCATAAACTTTGACCTTTTCACCAACTCAATGCTTCAGGAGATGCCAGCTGTCCCCCCCACCCCACCCATGGCTTTCCAAAAAGTACTTTTATCTCATCTAATTTAGAGACTGTTGCCACTCAGAAAGATGAGCGCGAAAATTAACGTTTTCACAGCTTTTAATAAATATCTCGGCCGATTGAAGTCGTATGAAGATGAGACCAGTGTCGATGGATTACGATAATTTTTTAGAATCCGCGGATATGCGTTTTGAATTCCAACTCACTGCCGTTCCCAAAATATTCAACAAAAAAAGACACACACATTTTTGGCACACAGCCAAATCCCTAAAATAGGGAAAACCTGACAAAGTGCAAAACGTAGGGGGGAAATGTTTTTAATTAATATCTCTGCTAATTAAAGTCTTCTGAAGACGCCAATGGTCAATATGACGAGCCACGAACTTGACAAATTCAACGGTGTGCTCCGCTAAGCCCGGGACCCAGCCGTTCTGGAGGAGATGATGTTACAAACAAACAGACAGACGTGCACAGATTTAAAATTTTTAACAGCTGTAAAAGCGTTCAGTTTTAATGTTAGTTTTCTATCCCGTATTATTATGGGCAAACAAAAGAAGTTAAATATTAGTTTTTGAAACAAGGGACAACACAAAGTGATACCTGACATTCTATACACTGGTAGCTGGTCTGTTTTCCTACTGGCTTACCTCTGGAATCTCTTTTATGGAAGCACAGAGTACACTATACCGTTGGATTTCTTCCCCCCCCCAGTAGCAGGAATAACATCTAGGAAATGCCCACCGCTTCATGATAACTGTCTGAAAAATCATCATTTTCGCTATTTTCCATCATTGCCACTATTTTACTTTTTTCAATGCAACTATTCTTTATACATTACTAACCACAAGCCGAGGTATTCTATACAATAGGGAAAACACATGACCAATACCACCAAAAGAACCGCAAAAACCAAGAAAACTTGGCAAACTGCCAATTAAAGCTGAATATTTCCTTTCATTTCCTCCAGGCCGAGTAAAACCGTGATAAAACAAATCACACTGACAAATTCTGCTTCGCCCGAGTTTTCTCGGGATAACAATTAACTGCAATATATACAAACCCGAGATAACTCGGGATAATCAGGCAAGCGGTTAATGTTTGTAAAAAACACTATAAGTTAACTGCTGTTCATCTCTTTTTCAAGTACATTTTGAAAAATGATTAAAATTTGGGATTGATCTTTAACAGAACAGCATGCAGTAGAATACAGTAGTTGCCTCTTAATGTGACTGAGGTTAATGTTATTCTTCAGTTATTGTTATTGAATTGCTGAAGTCCTATCCATTTGTAAAACATGGAAAATAAATCTCTTATTGTGATAAACAATTCAGTTAATGTTACCAAAATGTTATAATATGAATTTTTTAAATCGAAGTAAATTATTCAAACAAGGTAAAAATAAATTTTAAAAGTTGCTAAATAACTGAAAATATCACTAAGTATGGGATTAACTCAACAAATTGCTTGGTTCTTATTTTAGTTCACCATGTATAATTAGGGAAAAAAGCAACTTTTCTTTAGTTTGGCACTAACGCTGCTGATTTGAGAAGGATCAAACACAAGTCTTTCTTCTTCAGATAGAAGATGATGACATAAGATATCTACCAGAGGTTTCTGAAACAAGTCCAAGCCCATAATGTAATAAACTTTTTGTATAACATAAACATAAAATTGTTGAATTCCATATAAATTCTAAGTATAAGGAATGCATTCTGAATATTAAGATTAGGGGTACAAAATTGGTCAAATAATTTCCAGGAATAATACACAGTTTATAAATAAACTTTTGCATAATGCTTGAAGACAGTTGATTAGTAATAACCTTTTTATAATTAAAAAGCTGGGAATATAAGTATTTATGTTTCTACTTATATTTATATAAAATTCAATAAGTTCTATCTCTGATTTGAAGGATATTTTTTCTCATCATTTAATGTTATCAAAATAGCTGTTGACAAACATGATCACATTAAGCAGTGCCTAATGTATTTTCAAATTTATGGGATCCTGACATCAAGAAAAATGTGATGTATGTGAAAATGGATAAACACTGGTCATGCAACATGAAAAAATATCACAAGCAATAAAATTTTTTCGTGTGTTATGTCCATAAATTGTATAGGTTGATTAAAACTGAATAAAGAGTTTTTGTTGTTGACTTCGGAATTAGTAAAGAGTGATCTATTCCTTCAAACTTTTGCCTGAATGTTTGGTGAGATCTCCGATTTTCATGGGTTGGCCGACTAAATTTCATAATCAAATGTGATGTTTTATTTTCCATTTATGTTTTTAATCCTCTCTCTCTTTTATTTCTCATTATTTAAGTGTTGGCAATTTGTATTCAAGCTAATAACAAATAAAATGACTTTATAATTTCAGACTGGGAATTTTTTTCATCTATTAATTTGGTTTTTCTGTTGTAAATTATATTTTTATACATTCAGTTATGCAGAATTTCCGCATATGCAGAGTTTTCTGGATAGTTAGTTGAGCTTGCATAATGTTCTAATTACTGAGATGAAGGACATGGGTTTCATGGAAATCAAAATTTTCAATGCCATATATAATTATGAGATTTACTCTTTGTGTTTTTCAAATAACTTTTAAAATTTAGTATTAAGTGTACTTTAAAGGATAGTCAGAGACTTTTAAAAATGGTGAGTACTTTTTAATTGAGTGTTGATGTGCATTTGGCATTTAATGTTTTTCCTTATAAGCCTTTCTTTTCCCTTTTTAAAAACGTTTAATATATTTTAATCTCTATTTTCATTTTAAGGAAAATATTAATATGTTAAAGAACATTTTTTATTTTTTAATTTCAGCTAAATTTTGTAAGGTCCTATTTGAGGAACTTTGAAAGTAGCTCCAGTGAGACTGATGTCTCTGATGAAGTAAATAGTGAAGAGCATGTACTTCAAGAAGTTCTTATATTTAACCTTGCTTCTCATTTCTTATGGACTCTGTGGAGCATAGTCAATGCACAAAATTCTCAAATCCAGTTTGGCTATTGGGTAAGTTGTTTTAGTTTGTTTCAATAGTTTAAAGATGGTGCGGAAATTTTTTACGTATGTTAACAGTGATAATGAGCTATAAAAATTAGATATTTTTGCAATAAATAATTGGATAAGCATAAAAGTTTAGTTTTAATTTGAAGAAAATGATCCATTAGATTATAGACACACAATAATGTTTTCAGTACTGGTTTTTCAAAATAATGCGAAAAATTTATATGTAAACTTTTTTTTTTTTTTTTAAGTTGGTCATGTAAATTTAAGCCTTAAATATGTCGGAAAAAGGTGATATACTTTTTTTCCATCAAAAATGGCATTTTGAAATTAAATAAATGCTTTGATCACTGGTAAACTGACAAGTACCTTAACATGAGTATTTTATTATTATTATTGTGTGTGTTATTTTTACCCTCTGTAGACTTTGCATGCCTGTTGTGCTTATTTATCTTTACCTTCCCAATTTATGTTTCGTTTCTTATATAAATAGTAATGATATAAATAGCATATTCTGGTTTAGGAAAAAAAATTGAATATTAGCATGAGAAAAACAGTTGTTTATCAATTTGTAAATTTTATGTAAATACATTTGGTGTCATGATATGATAAACACCACACATGCATACTTCTGAACGGTGCATGCTTTCATAACCTTCCTACAAGACAGAAAGTGGAAATTACCAGAAAATGTCATAATAAGGCTTAGATACATTATGCTGCAAGCCAGCAGAAATATTATGCTGTACACTTTATGTGAATTGTATCCGTTTGTTTGTATTATAATAAACTGTTTTTCCTGCACTACCTATGAATGCTTTATGAAAATGTCCACATCACATCATGTATGTGCTAATATATCGAAAACCCACCTCACGATGAAAGTATCACAGCTGAGGTCATAGACTCCTCAAAAGTGATTCAAAAATTCTTTCTTGGTGTTGCAACTCAAGCAACACCAAGAAAGAATATGCGTAGCGTTGTGCAAATTGCAGGAGCAAGAATTGCATATGCAGGCTATAAAGGTCAGCCACTTTCCCTTCCTAGGGTTTATAGAGCATTGGAGACTTTAGAAAAAGCATAGAAAGTGCCTCTGAGACGTAGACGTTGGTGAGCTCAATTGGCTCAATACCATCAGTTTACGACTGGGGAACGCAACCGTATTATTGAACTCCATGAACTTGGTTTGTCGCTGCGCACAATAGCCACGAGTATTGGGCACAATTTGAATACCATCCAACATTGTATCACACAATGGATTCGAGGAATGTGTATGTGCTCGTCCAAGAGTAAGTGGTATGCACAGGTGCTGCATGTCGCACAGACCACCGTATTCGCTGATAAATATGGAGTCCTTTTCTCCACATCACGTGACATTCGAAACTGATTGCCTCCAGGAGTAGGTAGATCTGTGTCTACCCAAGCTGTACGCAATACATTGCATGAAGTACACTTACGTTCACGGGTACTAGCCACAGGGGTACCATTGACTGCTGAACAAAAGATTAGACGCCTGGTGTGGTATCAGCGTCGTAGTGCGTGGATGATTGAATGGCATCGGTTTTGTTAACGGATGAATCTCATTTCTGTTTGTGAAGGAATGACAGCCATCGACGGAAATGGCGGTGACCCCGGAGAACGCTATGAAACAGCCTATTTTGCTGAGCGTCACACTGGTCCTGCACCAGGCATTATGGTTTAAGGTGACATAATGTTTGATCACAAGACGCCTCTGGTATACATTAACTGCAGTTTGTTGCACATTAACTGTGACAGTGGGCTGCTATGTGACATAAGTTGTGGAGCCTATCTGTTCTGCCCTAGTTATAGGGTGCACCCAACATGGTATTCCAGCAAGACGATGCCAAGCCGCATGTCGCACAGCGTACTCTTAACAACCTGACCAGATTTACCCTGGTCGGCAGACAATCCAGATCTGAATCCCATCAAAACCCTGTGGAAAGTCATTGGACGTGACATTAACCGAGGACCACGGCTGCAAAACCTGAATGATTTACGTGCATCATGAGATATGGCTTGGCAAAGGCTGCCTCAGGCAACCATCAATGAACGCATTGATAGCATGATTCGCCAGATTGGAGCCTGTATTGCTGCCTGAGGTTGGCACATTAAATACTGAATAAATTGCTTCATAATAATTTTATGTGTCTTTTTAATCATTTGTATATCTATCTCATAACTCTCGATTCTGCAATTTCCTTGACTACGAGCATTCTTTCTTGGTGTTGCAATTTCGCTTTTGAGGAGTGTATAAGTAATTGTGAAACTATACTGAGGGATCGGATCAGTTTTAAATGCCGGTTTGTGGATAGTCAGATTTTGCAGTACTAAAATGCTATAGATCTGCTTTTGTTTTGTTAAATTTTGCAACTAATAAACTAGTATCACTTGAAGGTTTTATTGTAATAAAATATGTTTATTTAAGGATTATGTATGTTTTGATATAAAAAAAAATTAAAGAAAAATTGTTCTTTTATTATAGGAATATGGCAAAGCAAGGTGGGATGCATACTTCAGACACAAAACAGAACTCTTTAAGCAAGGAAAAATTGATTTATTGATTTGAGAGAGCTATTTGCTTCATTATCATTTAAGCCAAGATTCCATATGAAAGGAGAACCAACTGTACATAAATTATTTATTCCAGATTTTCTAGTTGTATTTTGTGATGTTAAAAGTGTATGTTAAAAATTTTGTACAGATTGTTTCTGCATTTAAAACTCGTACTAGGAATATATTTTCTCAGATTTGTGTGTCAATGATATGGTGCAAGTGTTCATCATATGGTATAATTTCATACACAAAATGGAAAAGGGGAGCTTAGTTACATCAGGCTGTGAATAACCATCTTAGTTTTTGTTTAATTGTCCTTCTTGTTATGAAGAAAAAATTTAATTTCTGTTGCATTTAATGATGAAATCTCTCATTGTGCAATTTTATTTTAGAAACAGTTTGTTATTCACCATAATTTTGTTATTTAGCTGTTATATGTGATATTTTATTAATGTATGTATTTTTGGCAGGGACATTTTCAGCATGTAATAGATGTTAAAATGGTTTTATTCTAATGTTTGCTTGGTGACCAATTTTTGTATGTGATATTTTGCTATTCTTCCCAGGTCTTCATAGAATTTATGCAATTTTGAATGTAAGGAAAATGTGCATACTTCATTTTATAAATATACTGCCTTGTTTTGATGTCATTTAAATCTGTTATTATTCAAATCAAAATATTCAGATGTAAATTAAATTGCAAGTGAGGGATTTTTAAGCATCTATTTCATATAATTGTATTTATATAAAGTGTTTTATAAAATATAACCTAATAAAAATTATTTCATTTTATTTTATTAATGTTAATGAAATGTGCTTCTTGAATATTTGTAGATAAGCCTATATTTTTTTTACTTGGGTATTTTATTTAATTCTTTGCTAGTCCTTGTTGTTAGTTCCATTTAAAAAAATACAGGTAAAATCCCCCCTTCCCGAAAGATATTGTTAACTGAAGAGGCTGTTAAGGTGATAAAAATGACTAATTTGAAAAATTGTTTGTTGCGGTTGTATTAATGTTAATCAATATTATATGTAAAACTGGTATTACCAGGAATGAGATTGTATTATGTTACTCTGAAAATATGTTTAATAACATTATTGCTTGTAAAGGATAGATTGAGAGGTGCTTTTCCAAACAGAATATGTGAAAACAAAATATAGGGAATGACATTAAGATTGATGCATGAAACGAACATTTGTGTTGTTCTTTAAAAACCTCTTGTATATAAATTGCATAAACTTAAGTTACATATTCAGCACCGAAATTAAAATTGATCATCAATTATCATAAGAAACTGATTTATATTCATTTGAGTCTTAATGAGCTAAAGCATGCAGCTGAAATTTTAACATACATAGAAGTAATTATTTCAAGAAACATCAACGAAAATAATTGTTTAACTTAAGGAATTTAATTTAGGTACATGGTTTATTGCTATTAAAGAAAGCATTAATAGGAGTTTTTTGATGGCCAGTATTCACAAGATAAAAAGTTGGAAAGAAAATTTTATATAAGATCAAATGCATTATTACTTTTTAATTATATGGATTATATTTTTTTTATCAAAGAATTAAGAATCTGGGCTAATTAAAATTTGTTTGTTAATGGATAATATTTAATTTACATTCAGCTGCATAATCCATGGGAATTGTATTAAGAAAGAAAAATACTAAGCTATTTATGTAGCAGCCAATTACTTAATTATTTTGAAAGAGATATATATTTATGGGATATAATTTATAACAGAGTAATTGATAAAGAGGTTTTGGGAAGTCTTTTTATGTTCTAATTTTTAGTGAATTAAATATATATGAAAAACTTTCAAATAAAATTTTACTGTCATTTTCTGATTTGAGGTTTTGTTGAAATATACCATGGAAATTTTTGTCTTTTCTGTGTATATACAACATGTAACAAATATTGCTTTTAATATGCTTCTCTTTTATAATTCACTTTAATTAATAATGTATTCAAGAGTATTAGTCAGGTTGCTAGAGATTGTGCTTGGAATATGTAATACTTAAAAACTAATGTTAAACTTTTTTATTTTTTGAAACAAGTAAACATGTCTTAGTTAATATTATAATGTTTGATATTAATTATAATGTGAATCTTGTACTCAGCTACTTTGTCTAACAATTCTAAAAAAATTTAATAATTTAGGGAAGTTCATTAAACCTGGACTTTTATGTCACACTTATTCACTTTCCTGTTTGATTATGTATAGTGCTTTTTGCTTTTTTAAACCTGCCAAAATCTATGCAATAAGTCAAATTTGGTCTGAGCGAAAATTGGTGGTGAAATAAAATATAACTAAATTATCATAATTTCCTTTTGTATTTTTAAAAGCTTTAATATTTTACCAGGAATTTGTTCAGATACTTTACTGAACACTTCTCTATATTTAAATGAAGAAAGTAAAATTATATTGTATCCGTTTTTCTTTTCAGGAAGCATGCAAATAATACAGAGTGATAGCTTACTTTTAATCCTAGTCAGTGATGTCATGCTTGCGAACAGCATTAAATTTGTACTAAGCAGAAGTATTTTCAGAAATGCTTGACTTTCTTTAGGTTGCTAATTTTCATCCGCAACTCAAATTTCTCTACAAAATTGCTAATTGTTTGTCTCAGCTCAAACCTTGTTTTGTAAGAGCTTCCTCAACAAACTTATGAATGGTTTTTTAACCAGTTGCATTGTTCTAATTTGTTTCAGACTTAAAAATGAATATTGTACAAGATTATCTACTTTCAGGAATGAATGATTTTTGGCAATTTAGCAATTTATTATTCATTGGAAAAAAAAAAATGATACATCTTGGAGACTTAACATCTTTTCATAGTCACTGTGCAATAAAAATATCTAGTCTTAAAATGAGTAGTTTCACAAGCACATTTTTACTCTTCCTTGCTTAGTGATTTAAAAGTAATTCATTTTGAATACGTGAACCAAAGTGCTATTCCCAAACACTGGAAAGATTTCTTATGAAAGACAGAACTTAGCCACTCAACAATCAGTTATTTCTATCTGAGCATATGAAATTTTAAATTGGGGGGGGGATGATTTTAGTTTGATTTAGAAAATTGTTAACCTATGCACTTTCTGATGAAAATATTGTTACTTATTTTTTTAATTACCACATGTATTAATTTGCCATTTATATTCATTGTAAGTTTAAATTTTGGAACTTTTTTATTTATTTATCAAGAAGTGTTCTTGTTGCAAGTATAATGCTTGATTTTGCAGTATGTATAGAGACAGTAGCAATACATAAAAAGCAAAAGGTATAAATTTTATTTTTCTTCCCTAAAAAAAGTTTAAATTAATGCTCAAATCTACCTGAATTTAAAAAGCAGAAAACTGCATTGTATATTAAGAATTATGAACAGACATGGAATTAAAAGGCATTATCAACTTAATTTTATAACAAACAATCTGTTATCACAAGAGAAAAATTAACAGTGACAATGTATTTCATGATAGTCAGCCTTGATGTTTGAATGACTTTCAATGATTGCATAAGTGTTAGTTTGCAATTGAAAAGTGACTTATTTAAAATCATTTCAAAAAATTTTGAAATAAAAGAAGGGGTAGTAAATTTTAAACACCTCTGCCGAGTTAAAACATTAAACTTATTATTCTAAAGTTAAAATTAGATGCATTTGATTTAAAATGTGTTAACAGCAATATGAAATTTATAAATGGTATGTTTTGTTAAAATATACAGTGTAATAATATATTATGTTCAGATCATCTAAACATACATATTTGTGTATATTTCTGTACACACAAAATAAAATGTTTATGAAACAATCTATTTATTTTTAGATGCAAAACTACTTAGCTTGTTACTGAGCCATTAATGATCAAAGTATTCTGATACACTGCATATGCGCAAGATAAAAATTCTATGGATTTCTTTTCTTATAATTGCCTGATCAGGAATTGTTCACTCTATTCAACTTCAAATTTATATGAAACCAAAATCCTTAATGAGCATTAAGGTGGTAAATTCCACTTGTAGCAGTAATCTCATTTCCACTAGATGGAAGAAGCACAGTGAGTGGTACTCCTATGTACTTTTTGGCAGTAGTTAGTTTGATTTAATAATTCTTCAAAAAATTTTGAAAAATTCACTTAATTACTAAAATGAATCTAAGACATTTAGCTTTGGTATTCACTTTTAATATGTATTTCACGTAATTTAATCTAATAAAGATTTTATAACTTAAAAATTTTAATTTCTTTAAAACTTTATAACATCTTCGTTACAAATAATCCCTAAAACAATGCAGCTAAAAATATGTTTCAAATTTCATGCAGAAGACAGATTTAGTTTTTTCTAACATATGCTATTTATGTACTAAAATAGGAGTTTCATGTCTTTGTAAATTAAAATTCAATGCTTCCAGTTTTTCAACATATCAAACATATAAATGCAGAAGTAAGGTTTTTTTATGTTATTTTTAAATGAACTGTTTGTTTCACTTATATGAACTGATTTTTTATTATGAATGTGTAGAAAGAACACTGAATTGTGGAATTTGGTCGTAATACATTTTACAAAAGTTGAAGAATTGTTGGTATGTAATATAATTAAAAATTTTTCATGTGTAACATTTGCTATGTAATTCAGAACATGTTCACCAGTTACTCTGCAAATGCTAATTTTGTATTTTTAACTGTATATAGAATTTATATAACAGTAATTATGTGCCTTAAATGTAGCAATTGGCAGGTGTCTCTATCTATCTTTACAAAATTTTGCCAACTACATAAATGCTTTATTATGTAATTTTAATTTGTTTTTATTTAAACATTGAAATAAATCTGTGATGTATTTGTTTTCCTTTGGCTTCCACAGGAAAAGGTGAAAACTGTATAAAATTTGCCCACATTAGTAAAAGAATAAAGTTGATTTTTTATAATATTTGTTTATATATTATGATTTTTACATTAAGGGATTTTTTTAATTAAATGAAAGCTCATTTTGATTGTAGTAAGTTTTCAGAACTATTTCTCTTTATTGTACTCATATTAATCTGATTTAATTCTAATGGCCTGTTTAAGATATATTGTTGTATAGCAAATAAGCGCTAGTGATAGAACATTTTATTTTTGCCCGTTTCATGTTGATAACTTTCAATAACTTTACAGCACAAAATTGAAGTGAATCTGATAAAGCTACTATGATTTGCTTAATCAATATAGCTTTAATTATAGAAATTATAATGCAATTTTCAGTTACCAGCAGTTGATAACTTATGGTGGGTTGTAACGCCCTTCACTTTAATGAATTTTCAATAGAAAACTGATATGCATTTAAATAGTCTGAAACAATTACATGGGAGAAGGCTCTTATCATGAAAAAATATAACAGAGGACAAATGTAATTAATTTTTAAATAATCACAATAGCATTATCTAGTTAATTTTTCAGAATTAAAATCCTAAATCACCATGATGGAAAGGGATATTTTAAAATATGGCAAAAAAAAAAAAATAAATAAATAAATAAAAATAAAAATGTTTCATTTTGATGTTATTTCTTAAATATAATTTTAATATATTATCATTTTTAAGATATTTATCAGTGTCATTATGTTTGTAAAAAAATGGTCAAAAGATTCACAAATCTCTGAATAAAAAATTTTGTAAACAAACTGATCTTGAAAATCACCAAAATATTCATAAATTGCCAAATTTAGTATCATATAATAAAAAAACTGGTTCCGAAAAAGAAAAATTGTTTGACTTAATATTTTATGAACTCTTCTTTCATAAAAAAGAAATTATTTTGAAATGTTGATGTTTCAATTGAGCCAGGGCCTCGTGACTAAATTTCGAGTATTCACCACTTATATTGAGAAGTAGGAAAAAATTCAAATGTTAACCCATCACATATATATTTGTGAATGCATCACCGAAATATTGTCTTCAGAAATGCTAATTCAAAATGGCAGATGAGTAAAATTAAGGACCTTTTGCTGATTTTGGCTGAAATTAAGGACCCTGAAGGACGAAAAATTTTTTCCATGCGTACTAACCCTGTTTTAAGGATCGTACTAATCCTGTTTTAGACATAACATTTTCTTTGGATGTAAAAATATTGCTCACTATACAAGTTTTGTTTTTTCTACAATATTTGCTTTATAAATAATTCTGAATTATACTAATTTATTTAGCTTCATACTGAATTTGTAAATGTTTTTAAAATCCCTTTTTTTTTAGACTATGCAAAATGATAAATCAATGTTTACCTAACATAATGACATACACAGAAGACTTGAAAACTTTTAACTGTGGGCAGTCCTTTCATTTGGTTGGATTTTTCCTCCTTTTCCCATCTTAAAGAAACTGAAATACATATTTTTCATCCTCATTTGAATATAATGCTTTTGACGCTGCTACAACTAATGTGATAATGTAAATGATTAACAATATGGTTTGCCAACTACAAGAGATATAAAATATTCTTACAAATTTACTTATATGCTAAAATAGAGCAGCCAAAGGAGATACAGAAAACAATTGATGAGTACTTTGTTTTAAACAGCTGTTTCATTTACAGGCTTAAAGATAAATTGCATGTCGGTGAGCTTTGCATTTGTGCAGGTAGCATGCCATTCAAAATCTGTATCAAGAATGATGATTTACAGCTGTAAAATGCTTTTAATGGCTGCTCGGTAAGCACTGTCTTACTTAAGCATTTTCACACATGCGTTCTATAAACAAAATCTGCTTATTTTAATCCTCTTTATCTCCCTTTACATATCTCTGAATCATCTTACACATTCATATATATATGTGCATAGAATTAACCATAACTTTTTATCTGGAAGGATGCCATTTCAGTTCATTATTCAGCTACTTTAATGTAAATATTAGATGTTATAGATATATATTTTAACTTCATTGCAAATACATTTCAAATGCAACATTTTTAGAATTATTTCTATACATTAAATAAAACTACTAGAAAGTTTTTTTCTTTTATTACACACATAATAAATAAGCAAAAGATAAAAACTATAAACAGTGCAATAAAATTTTTGCATTTTTATCAAAATTTTGTAAAAATGTCAATTTTTTTTTAAATATGGGATAAAAAATTATATAGTGCAGCAATCCAATTCAAAATAAAAAAAAATTCCAATATTCTTTTTGATTGGAATACACTTAAATTTACTTATTTACAGATCACATACAAAATGGGCTGCAATTTTGTATTTCAAATTACATTTTGAAAATAAATATGATGAAAACAAAATTCTATGATCCATTATGTATTTGTAAAGATACATAACTGGATAATAGATAACATCTTAAAAGTAGATCTGCATCTTCTGTTTCCATTGAAAATTAAATATTATATATCAAAGACACAAAAACATGGAGTCTACTTTTACTCCATTGTCTAGGAATGCAATATACATAATATGAAATGGTTCTACATGAGATTCATATTTTGAACTTTTTTTTTTGGGGGGGGGCGACAAAAATTCACATTAGAACTTAAAGCTGAAAAATATTCATCATTAAATTCTAATTTTAGGTCATAGGTTTGAAGAACATTTTAAGCATTCATTATGTCTTACAAAAAATTTAGAAACAGAACCATGCATGTACTTTATAATGTGCCAATATTAAATGCAATTTTAAAAGCACATTATTCAGCCTAAATTTTACATCTTGGAACTTTGATTACAAAAAATTGCTGATAAATGCTTAAAAGTCAAATGTACTGCAGATTTACAAAGCATGACTGTTACAAATGTTTCAAGATCAATCATGAATACTGATTGTCAAATTGTAAAACAGATTATGCAAGTCGAACATTCTTAGTTGTTGATGATGATGATGATGCATTTACGTCTCCTGCTTCCAGAGCTAAAGTTACTTCATCAGGATATGAATCGGTATTATTGCCATTGTTCAGTCGCTGTCGGCACACAGGTGTAGATCGGGGAGTTTGAGGAGACTGTCCTTCCTTTTGTGGCCCACAGCACGTCTGGGCTGTGCAATTAGTACTAGCAGGACAATCAAGGATGCAGTTTTCTTCTTTTTCTTGATACTAGTGATTTATACAAGAGCCAAATGCTCAAAAATACATTTATCTACATAACATGCCACATATAAAATAAAATAATTACCTAACAAAAATAAAACTGAAAGAACTATCAAATATAAAACTGGTCATCTAAAAAATAATCTACTTTTCTTATATATTACAGTACAAAGTCCAAAATCCGAACGTCCATTATCCGGAATAATCTAAAATCTGAACCTCAAAATCAACAACATTTTACTAACAAAAATAAAACTGAAAGAACTATCAAATATAAAACTGGTTATCTAAAAAATAATCTACTTTTCTTATATATTACAGTACAAAGTCCAAAATCCGAACGTCCATTATCCAGAATAATCCAAAATCTGAACCTCAAAATCAACATTTTTCTAGTAGGCTTTACGCATGCACATTTGATTACCCCCTTTTATTCATAACAAAACATCTGGAGAGTCCCGATTCTTAATTTCACTTTGACACTAAATAAAATAACATGTTATTGAACAATCATTTTAGCATAAATTTCTACGATCAGTAAGTTGGCTCTGTTGCTGTGTATCTACTTGGCACACATCTCAAACTGAAACATTCAACATAGATAATCATTGATATGACAGCAACCTGGCAAATCATTATTTATTGTACTTTCCTTTCATCACCGCATGTTTTTTTTTCGAAACATGACAATTTGAGTAATGACTCATGTAGCAATGCCTAAACAATTTTTTATTTTAGTAATTGAATAATAGAGGAGTATGGTAACTTTTTACATTGACATTATGCTTGGAGATGATTACATATTTATGTTATATGCGCTTTTTAGCGCATGTTGATGAGGAAAAATTTACCAAAAATTTCTTTCCATACACTCAAAATAGATTTTGTTCATGATACTCATAGACCCAAAGATTACATTTAGCGCTATTTGAATTAAGAATAACTGGTTTGTTATTCACATAAACCCAGAACCAGCACCAGGGCTTGTATGGGCGCACCGAGTCGCAGAATTTAGGAACCATAGAGACTGCATCAGGCGGTAAGATATCTAGCGCCGGCCCTCAAGAAGGCTTAAGTATATGTGGGAATTTATTTATTCAGAACTCTGATAAGCCTTAAGCATGTGCAAGAAATAGACATAAGTTTAATAAATAATTAAACTAATACAATTCAGGCTTAATTGTCTCAGTGTGCGATAAAAGCAAGATAAAATTTAACAGAACAACTTGTGGTTAGTCGCCAAGCTCATGATGCATAGCCAAATATGTATAGTGAAGGATAGCTAAATTTGATGATGATAACCGCTAATTTTAAAGGTTTTTGGATATCGCAAAACAAAGGTGAAGTTTTCCAATTAACGGATTTTGTAAAAAAAAATGTGGAGAAGCGGTAATAAATGAAGAAGGGAAAAAAAAAGTTTTCATCGTGATGACAATGCTTCTCAATCATCAATCAATTAATGAATGGTGAAATCTGTAGTATGGTTCTACATCCAGAAAATACCATTACCAATAGTGAAGAAAATAACAGAGAAGTTACTGAAAATGAGAAAATTTTAATTGACAAGTTAGTTGAAATTCTCGAAACAGCAGTTAAGGGACTTCAACAATGTAACTAAACCAGAGATTATTGTCTGTCTACAGAATTAAAGAAAAAGTATTAAAAAAAAAAAAAAAAAAAAAAAAAAAACGAAGCAACTTACATCGAAAGGAATGTTTAAGGTAAACAAATAAATATTACGCTTTTTTTGTAAATTTTGATATTATTAGATCATAAATATTTCATTATTTTATAAATCACGATTTCATATTTTTAATTTTATAATTTCTACATGCCATCTTACTAGATTTTAAACTGATGATCTAATAATTAGACACAATAACATGCCGAATAAATACTAATTCAGAAGTCAAACAACAAAAATCAGCGTTATACCTACACAAATTTTTGTAGGTATAATGCTGATTTTTGTTGTTTGACTTCTGAATTAGTGATGATCTAATATCCGGAAAAATTCCAAATCCGGAATCGCTGAAACCCCCACGAATCCGGATTTCGGACTTTGTACTGTATTATTCATTTCCATAATAGACAAATAAAATTTTATAAATATTCAGTATCTGGCAGCTACGTATTTTTTTTAGCATAGTCAAAAGTAAAAGCATTTTTATAATATTCAGAAGACGGGGAGAAAAAACTTTTCAAGTAGATTCGCATAGAATTCATATTTTTTATTATTTATAAGGATAAATAAATTTTGTCACTATTATTCAGTATTCAGGAAAGTATATTCACATGGCATAGCTTGCTAACCTTCAAGTATGAAAAACAGGGAGTTTCTGAGAGGTTTTATTGCTGCACAGCAGCACCTCTTCAAAAGAACTTTAAATTGATTTATAAAATGTGATTCAGGTTATTCAATTATTTATCATAGTATTCTGATGTAAAATATAATAATATTTAATAAGATATTATAAATTTTACGTTTTTTGGCTAGACTCATTTTATGGTTTTTGTACACCCTTTACTTCTTTGTACAACGTAAAGGTAGTATTGTAATTAGGAAAAATTTTGAATGTTTCCAGTATTTGAAAGTATCCATGTTGACTATTTTAATGCATGATGTAAGTACGAATAGATAAAGGACTCTATTCCAAAATGGGTTAAAAATGGACTTTTTCAGGACATCTTTATGCACATGTGTTAATCGCATAACTCAAAACGATTAGCCCTAGAACATCAACATTTTGTCTACAGAACTAGTATAATACCTAGTCATGCACCTCCCTATTTTTCACTGCAATTGGCTGCACCAAAAGTATATATCTACATACCCAACCCCAGCTTAAAAGTCCTTATCTGGCCTTTATTTTTGCAATCATCGGTCACAGACACATACATCCAGTTACAGAAGTATTTTAAATGACGAAAATATTCATGTTTCAGCAATTTCAAATTCATAAAATAAATAAATAAATTTTTAAAAAATCTGAAAGCTTTCCGATTTTACATTACGCCCACAGCGGCTTTTTTTAAAGTTTTGTGTGTTACCTTTATTTATTCGCACTTAAACCATAAAATTCAGTTCAACATCAATATTGCAAAATAATTTTAAAATGAGTATATTGTTAGAATTTCCAATACACAATCTCATGTGCTCAAGATTAAAATGGTTTCCCTTCCCATACAATGCTGCCATTGCTTGCTTTGAAATTGTTGAGTTTGTTAAACAAAAATTGTTAAAGTTTTACAAAATATGGAATAAAAAATAGAACAAATTTCAAGTTTGGGCTTCCAGATGCCCATATTTGGGTGGAAATGTACGTTATTCAAAATTTGATGGCTCTAGGTACCGGTGTTTTATCACAATGTGAGAAACAGACATACATTTATGCAGATTCTTCACTATTTAATCTCTTTAAATATAATACAGGGCTCTAATATTTGGTGGCAACAATTTGAAAAGTGAATCAACCTTTATAGTGAATCAACGCAAAATGTCAAAATGAAATTAATAGTCCTTTTGGGCAAATTGCCCCTTTGCACTAATTAGACAAATAACAAAATGTAACTTTTAATGCAGTGTCCTGGTTCCTATACTTATATTTAAGAACGTTTTATATTTGCTATGAAAAAATAAAAAGTTTCTCTCCTTGAACGTCCAAATAGTTTATTTCAAATTTTGCAATTTTGGATGTCATTTTAAACTTGGCATGACAGATCAAATAATCAAACTAGAATAATTCGAGGAAATCAAGTCTAAAAAAAGGACAGCAAAAAATTTGTATAATTTGACAAGCCACACAGGGAGATCATGTTTCTGCATCAGATTTTTTACTGAGAAATTTCTGAGATACGAAGATTTAATTTATCAAAGGACTTTCAAATATAATGAAAAGAAAATTAATAATTAATGTACATACTACTATGAAAATAAACTTAGTAATGTGCCTTACACTGAAGTGAAAATGATGCTAAAATCACTTTCCTTAGTAAAGGCTTAAAAAAAAAAACTGAAAACTTTTAGATTTTATATTATGCCCGAAGCACCTCCCCCCTCCTATGTTTTGAGCGTTACCTTTACTTATTAAATATCATGTTCTTCGCACTTAAACCTTAAAGTTCAATTCAACAGTAATATCACAAAATATTTAAAAGGGCATATCTTTGGAATTTCTGATACAGTCTCACACACTAGAGATAAAAATGTTCCCCCGCCACAGGTACAATGTTGCCATTGCTTACTTTGAAATCATTGAGTTTGTTAATCAAAAATTATTTAATGTTTGACAAAATATGAAGTGGATAATAAAACAAATTACAAACTTGGGCTTCCAGATGCCCATACTCAAATGGAGGACTAAGTTATTCAAAATTTAATGTCTCTAGGTACTGTTGTTTTTTCACAGTGCGAGAAAACACACATTCATGCAGATTCTTCATTATTTAATTTCTTTAAATATAATGCAGGGCTTTAACATTTGGTGGCAACAATTTGAAAAAAGATACGCTGTTTATAGTGAACCGACACAAAATGCCAAGACAAAATTAAGAGCCCTTCTGGACAAATTGCCCCTTTAGACTATATATATATATAAAGGAGATTTAGTGATCTATTGCGAGACAGGCCATGATAATTTACATAATTGCATTGATTTTTCTTCACAGTGTTGAAGTTTAAATGCTAAGCATACTTTATATTATTGGAAAAAGTAAGCTATCAGCTCTTTCTACAACACATATCAAAACTTCAGCTGAAAGTAATGCAGTATATCTAAATCAGAGATAAATGAGCTTTGGGGATTAGATGTGATCACTCATTCATTTTATCTGCTTCATTTCATTAAAACAATATATAATAAGAACACAGTACAAAATCCCAGATCAGGAATCAATGGGACTCTAGCAATTTCATATTTTGGAAATTTCTGGATTTTAAATCATGTTTAATTCTAGTAAGATACTGTGTAGACATGCCAACATCGAAGCTTCATTTATGGTTCAAGTCACATAGAAAAATACTAACCCCCTCCCCAAGGGCAGAAATTACAATTCTGGCCAATATCAATAAAACATCAATGTACTATCATGGCCCATGGTGCCACTCTCTTGCCACCAGGTGTTTGAAAATGACATTCAGAAATCTCAGTTTAAAAACTGCATTTATGGTATACTTGCTTCTTTTAGTTGGGTATTAAATTCTCCATTTCTAAACTAATATGTGAGAAGCATTTTTATTTATTTCTTTCTTGGCTAGTGGTCTGGAAGTCCGAATATTAGATCATTCTGGATAATACTGACTATCTTGTATTTAGACTTTGCATTGTATTGTTCTTCCTATATTCTATGAGGAAAAGATCCATACCATAAAAGAAACCAATATATAAATATGATAACTTACCGATGGTATATCAACAAACTCTGGTTGGATAGTGGTAGAATGAATCCCTTCATTATGGAAAAACTCTTTAACTTTTTCTGCGATCTGCATATAGTCAACAAGATTCCTACACCTGATATGGGCAGATGCAATGATTCTCTCTCCAGCCAGTTGCCATACATGAAATTCGTGTACGGCTAAAACCCCATCAATCTGTATAAAATTCACAAGATCAATTTATTTATATTAGCTCATACTTCTGAAAGCCACAAGTTTACATTTACATAATTTTGAAAGTAGTAAAATGTGTTATATGGGCAGAAATGTCTCATAACTTCATAAACAGAAATGAAATAAATTAATTTAGTTATATTTCATACATTTTATTTGCATACGAGTCTACCCCATTCCCCTATGAAAGCCATGCCCCTGGTATAAGTCATTCAGTATCTTATTTCAAATGACACAAAAATTTTTGGTCCACATACAGATATCGTATGGGAATATAGGAAGAAATTTAACCAATGGCCAATATATATATAATGTAACACTATATACCCATATTTAAATAATATTCCAGACTTTTATCAGTAATAGCCTGATTAATTTTTTGAAATATATGTATCATTAGTAATCCTTAGCCTATTATAGCTAAGTATTTCAGGCTACTGGATGAGAGAAAGGATGCCTTTGCAAAGGTCTTTCTATGGGAAGGAAAAAAAAAAAAAAAAAAAACTCATATTCATATCCCCAATGGGGGGGGGAGGACTATATTCAGCCAACCTTTTCACTCAAGACTACTTGTCTGTAACTTTGATTATGAAACTTCTACTGGATCAAGTTATTAACATTAAAATACTTACACAAAATTCACTTTTAATGAATTATAACAACTGTTAATAGTAATTTGTAATTGCTAGCAGCAAAAATTTAAGTGCATCGGTGGATGTGTATCTCAGAATCAAAATAATGAGAGGGAAAAAAAAAAAAAAAAAAAAAAAAAAAAAAAAAACCAAAAGAAAATGTTATCAAATTCTAATGTTTCAACACAATCCTATTTTTTTTAAATTTGCTGCCTAAATTTTGGAAAACTGGTATAGTTTATATAGTTACAAAAGTAAATAATACAACAATCAGATAGTAATAATCTCTAAAAAGTTTTATACAATTAAATTAACATTTTATACTAAATATACAGAAATAAGCATTAGTAAGAAATGAACAGCTTAGTTTCAAAAGGCATTAAGTCAAAAATTAACTAATAAATGGCAGACAGTGTACAGATGTTTTTTTCAATATTTTACGTCTCAAACAGAATTTAATCCTAATTTAATGTTCCTTTTTTTATAGGGATTTAAGTATGTTTTACATCAGATTAGTTTCAGTAAACCTTAACAAATTACCTTTCTGCATTTTCTACACACTTAACTGCAAGTAAGCCCTCCCCCAAACACAAGAATTATAAAAGAATTTAATTATTGACTAGCTATTTCAACTTAAGAAACTGACTGAAACAGGATAAAGAAAAAGAACTTTTCATTTATCCACAAAAAATTAAGAACGTATCTGGGTTTGAAAAGCAAAATTAGTCTTCTATAAATTACTCTGTGAAAAAAAATCAGGCAGAGCTTGGAGTGTTAATCTGCAGGTATATGACTTTTGGATAATTACATTTCTTTCAACTTACTAAACTAAAATGTAGTCATTTTAGAAGTTTTTGCCAGTTAATGCCACTCTTAGGAAGCAGTTCCTACCATATTGGTTTTAACTATTTTGGCAGAAATCTACCAACCCTCAACCATACACTAAATGTTAACATAAACATATGTGATATTAAAAAAGCAATAGAAATTATAAATGAAGATTTATGGAATGTGAAAGTAACACCATTCTAAAACTGTGAAACTGGATTCTACACTTGTGAAATGACTAAATGCTTCAATTTTTTTTTGATAAAGTATTTGTGCGGCAGAGCATCAATTTTATTTCAAAAAGGATCCTGTCTTGTTTTCTAAATTTCTATATCCCTGTATTGTAAGTTTTTTTTTTTTTTTTTAGTTATCTCATTTTGAGTCATTACTCAAAAATTATCAGAAAAAAAAAATACTTTCTGTTTAATTTGGAAAAATCTGGTTAGAAATTTACTTTTGAAAACTAATAAAGAACTCGCAATCTCTTGAAATAATAGCCTGAGTTACTTAACAATTAAAAATTCCTGAATTCTCTTTATTCTCAAATCTATACTATATTATATAAATTAAGTAAATTGAATTGAAAGATGGGATACTAATACCTCTCTTTTAATGCAAATTATCAATTCAAAATTATCCTTTTTTTGAGTGGGGGAGGCACAAATCTGGTTTCTGAATGAAACACTTAAGGTTGCTTTAAAACACATTCTTTTTCAAATAATTTACACAAATATATAATATCATGTTTTTAAAACGATGACTTACCTCTTGAAGTAATTTTTTCTGCAATGAATCAATCTGAATATGAGTTGGAACAGTCTGAAGTAAAATCAAAGCTGATTCTACCACTGTAAAATAAATTGTTATTTATATCTATATGTTTCAGTAATAAATCATTTATGCTACCTTTTACAAATTCTTAAAATTATGAGACCAGATTTAAAAATTACTTAGCTTATAAGTTTAGTGTAATAATATCCATAATAACTTATATCAAAAAGCTTGCTTTTCTACATTAAAAGTCAAGCATTGTTATTAAAAATCATTCACCTCTTAATTTAGATTTCCAGTTGCAATAAAAAATTCAGAAATAAAAAAGGACCACGTAAATTCCTCATATTCTGTTCTGCCTATTCATCCAAATTTAATAATATATTTAATAATATCATAATATAGTATTCTGCCTAAGACATTACTGAAAATCTAAAGAATATTTATTATTTTAACTATTGAATCATCCAAAAAGTTATAAATTTTTATGATCAATGCAAATGAAGCAGAACCAACAAAAGAAAATTTAATTCGATCATTACTTTGTGCTAGGATTTTGCAATCTCTCCAGTAGCTTGATAATTCTGTTTTTTTTTTTTTTTTTTTTAATCATTACATTTATTCATAATGAAGTTATCAATATGCTATTCGATAGTCTCCAAAGACGTAAGCTCTAGGCCATTCAAAGAATTTTAAAGTTACCTTAAGAGGTGAAATCTAAGAAAGCAAGGTACAGGAAATATCGGGGAGACATAAAACATCCAAGCCACATTCAGTAAGTCTTGCTGAAATTTATTGAAATGTGGGACTGAGCATTTGTCGTGATGGAAAAACAATACCTCAAAGAGTAGTAAGTTCTGAGTATTTGCCTCTTCGCCTAAAGGAGCTTTTTTTAATGTTTTGTGCATTACCTTTATTTATTAAATATCATTTTCTTTGCACTTAACCATAAAATTATATCCCATAGCAATATCACAAAATATTTAAAAAGAGCATATCTTTAGAATTTCTGATACAGAGTCTCGTATGCTAGAGATAAAATAGCTTTTTTTTTTCATATGGTGTTACCACTGCTCGCTTTGAAATCGTCGAGTTTGTTAATAAAAAATTTGTTAAAAGTTTTACAAAATATGAAATAGATAATAAAACAAATTCCAAATTTGGGCTTCCAGATGCCCATATTCAAGAGCAGGACTGCGTTACTCAAAAATTTGAGGTCTCCAGGTACCATAGTTTTTTCACAATTGAAGATACATACATACATTCATGCAGATTCTTCATTATTTAATTTCTTTAAATAACAATGCAAGGCTCTACTATTTGGCGGGGAAAATTTGAAAAGTGAAATGCCGTTTTAGAGTGGATAACGCAAAATGCCAAAACAAAACTAATAGCCCTGGGCAAACTGTCCCTTTGGGCTAAGAAAGAAAGAAAAAGAAAAAACAGAGGGAAAACGTGCAAAATTAATTTTATAGAGATACCTGATGCACATTCTGAGACAATTATATGGAAAAAAACTCTTAGCATGAAAAAATTGAAAAAGATATTTTTATTTAATTACATGGCTATTTCGCTTTTGCTAAGAATTGTTTCACTTCTTTAGTAAATTATGCTGTATAGCATTTATTACCTTGTTTATTTTTCAGATTCAAAATATTATATAATAAGTCACTAAAATAAAAATGTTTTATTTTAATGCTAATTTTTAAAATATAATTTCAATATACTACCATTATTTTAATGAAATCTATCACTGTTATAATGTTTTTAAAAACTCAACCGAGAATTCCCAGATCTCTGAAGTAAAAATTTTCTATAGAAAGTGATTTTAAAATCACTAAATTTAGAATCATTTAATAAAAGAATTCTCATCTCCAAAGGTGAAAAGTTACTCAAGAGCTCTTCAGTCGCCAAATTTAGAGACGTTTAATAAACGAATTTACATCCCCAAAAGTGAAGAGTTCTTTAAGAGCTCTAATATTATAGTATTCTAAAAAAATCTTAGAATAATTCACAAATCTCATAATTAAAAATTGACCTTAAACTCGGAAAAAATGTTGATAAGTCGCCAAATTCAGAACCATTTAATAAAATAAGTTACATCTGCAAAAGTAAAAAGTTTAAGAACTCTTCATGAGAAAAAATGAAATAATTTAGAAATGCTTATCTTTTATTTCTTGCCCAGAATATCTAATATCGCACCATTTACATTAGAAACAGGAACAAATTATAACCCATGAACCCATTCAAAAGACAATCATATTTGTCAGTGAATCGCCGAAAATATTCCTTCAAAATGCTTATTCTTACTCAAAATGATAACTGTAAAAACAGACAGAAATTTTAAATGATTAAAATTTAAGGCCTTTTCCGATTTTGGTTGAAATTAAGGACTTTTAATGTCCCAAAAATCAATTTAAAAAAACCTAAGGACTTTTAAGAACTCTTCAGGATCGTACGAACTCTGTGCGCCAAATCATAGAAGTAGTCTGACTCAGGGATAAATAGAAGAGCTAGGTCATTTCTTTGTTTGACTCCTCATGGAGGGGATTAACTGGAAGTAATCTGACGTGTCTGTGTTGCACCTGCTCTGATTTCGCGCGTTTAAAACTGTAGTTTCATTCAGTTGCAAGACAATTTTCTGGAGGTTGCATATCCCAAATTAATTTTAATCATACATATTTGTTTTCTAATAATGCAAATATTTAATAATTTGTGTATATATATATATATAGTTTTAGTCAGTTTTCCTTTTAAATTCTATATTTAAAGTATCCTTTATGTAATGTGGCTTCTTGTGCTGTAGCAACGTGCCATAACACTTATAGAAATACGAAAGGAAGAGATATTGTATTTCATGCTTTCCCAAAGGATAATTTGCTTTTGTTGAAAGAATGGATACATAAATGTCGAAGGCAGGATTCTATTAATGTGAAAAACGCAAGAATTTGCGGTGAACATTTTCTATGCAGTTGATTATGAGGATGACATGAGAAATCACTTACTTAGATTGCCGCAAAAGAAACTGTTGAAATGCAATACTGTGCCGAAAGTAAATTTATCGTGTGCAATAAACGAATTAACACCAAGAAATCGGTGACATTTGAAAAGAAAACTAATGCAGAGTGCTTTTGAAAGACTACACGAATTAAGCCCAAAGAAAAGTTGTTTTGAGGCCGAAAACGAAACTGAATAAATCTAATGTGAATGATTTTGAAATAAAACTCACAAGTGACAATGCCCTAAGTGACAATATCCCTGAATGACCTAAGTGTAAACAAGAATGTATTGATAATTTGAAGAACAAAATAAAATCCTTAGAAAATTGTAATAAAATATTGAAAAATAGAGAACAGAAAAATTTTAGAATGTTTGCTCAGCGACAAAGAAGGTGGACATCTAGAAAGAAATTTGTATCGGAAATGCAGAAATTAAAATCCCAAACAACGAAATTTGGAAAAAACAGCACAGATCGGAGAATTTGGAAAAACGTCTAAAGCATATTTTTACAAAGATGCAGATTAACGCATTGCTAGAAAAGAAGGAAAAATCAGGTGGACTAGTGAAGATATTTCACATTGCCTTGTCATAAGAGCTCTGTAGAATATGTTTCTTAAATAGAAATGCATGTTTTTTCCCAAAGAAAAGCAACCCAAAAGGCAAAAAAGTAGATTGCTTCAAATGTGGTAGCCAATAAATAATATTTCAACAACTTGTAGTTGCATTGTGACTGTACAAATAAGCATATATAATATGTTTTGATTTGAAATATTTCTAGATGGCATTTTAGAAGTTAATAGCGTAAAGCATATTTCAAATGAGACTAATTTTGTTAAGTTATTGTTAAAGTTATTTTTATTGTGTTCTGTGTTATTGATTAAATTTTGTGCTAGCTTAGCATTCTAGATAAAATATAATAGTATAACATTAAAGTAATTGGCATAAGAAAACCTGCCTCCTTAATCCCCACTTTAGAAAAATTAAATAATTTTTTTTAGGTACTGTGAGTAAAGTTGTTTTGTCTAAATTAAGATAGCAATCTTAATGCATTTTTACAAAATTATTAAAAAAATATATGTTATTATATTGAATACGGAGAAAAATATGCCAATGTAAAATTTACAATTAGGCTGAAACTCAAACTTCTACTAGAAGCTGAAATTTTGAAATTAGGCTGAAACTCAAACTACTACTAAAAAACTAGCAGAAATTTTGAAAACTATGCCAATTTAAGGTTGTTTTTTGATTAATTTTAAATAGCTGTTACTATAATTATCTTAGAAGCAGTAGTACAGTTCTCTTAGTTAACATGCAGATAAAGAAATGATTAGAAATAAACAGGCATTTAAAGAAAAAAAGACCCTTCAAATTAAAAAAAAAAAAAAAAGGAACTTTATGCTAAGAGTAGCGCATTTTATCTGTTACTTTAAAATTGAGTAAGTACTATTAAATTTTTTAATGTTCAGTGTAAAATGCATACTGCAGCAACATTGTCTTTTCTAAATCATAACTATCTTTCACACACAGCTCAATTTAAACGCTGGTTCTTCAGATTTAAAACGCTAGTTTCTATGTTGTCAAGTTGCATCTCCATGCTCAGTGTCATCATGGCTACGTCATCACTCCCCACTGCCTGTTTCAGGAGGAAAAGCTCTATGAGCTAGCCCTTCTCTTTTAAGTCCTGAGTCTGACTGGCACTTATTCCCTTTTTAAAAAATAAAAGAGCATAATATGACAAAAATGAACTTATAGGTTCTCCATGCTTACCAATGAACTGGGGGGGGATAAATAATAATAATATACATATATTATGCAATAGCATTTACTAGAATTATGCAATGTAATCAGAAAAAACTGAATTTACACATCTGCTTCAACAAAGGTCACTCTTTATCAGCAGTTAAAAAAAAGAGAGAGAGAGAGGAAAGCACTTTGACTTGGAAAACTGCAGGGCTTTGATTGACCCAAACATAAGTAACACAAACACTATCCAATACTGATCTTAGAATTTATGAAGCTTTTTTCGCTACAGAAACTAGACCCAAAACATTTGTAATCATGCTAAAGGAGTAAAACTTTTCCTTTCATTTTTTAACTGTTTTAGAAATTTTATAGTTCTTCTACATTAAATACTCACTCATAGAACTAAAATAGTTTACATACAAAATTAAAATAATGGCAATACAACAAACAGTAATGGCAGTTTCTTTTCTGAAATTTGTTTAAATACTGTAAACTTGATTTAAGTAAAATCTCAACAACTGTTTTTACATTTTGAGCCTTAAAGCATAAAATCAATAAAAAAAATCTTTTTTTAATTAAAAATTATTTTAAAGTGATATTTTTGCTGTGTGTATACTTAAACTATACAGAGAGCTGGATAATTAAAAAACGCAAATAAAATTTAGTATTTTATAAAGCACACTATGTTTAAAATTGAAGTAAAATATACTCATGTCCAAAATTATCTTTACATACCCAAAAATGATGATATTCAATGAAATATTGAATCAATGTGATCCGTATTTGCAGAGAATGTGTGAAAACCAAGCCTAATTAGCATTATCCAATCAAAAGTAATCAAACGGTTTGTGATATGCAAATCTAGGCGTTACGTCATCCAAGGGTGAATCGAGCGCTTTGCGCAAACTGAATTATTGAAGTGAATTTCTGCAGTACATACCGTTTGAATTTCAGTGTGTAGGGACTCCAAAGCGGTTTGTTATGGCTTCGAAGTATCATTTGGAAGAATCTTGTGAAAGTGGTGGAATTATCGGCCGTTTAGAAAGCAGGGCAGTCAATCATGGAAACAGCCACATGTCTGAATATTTCAAGACAAGACAGTCTCTAAGCTACGGAAACTGTTTCAGAAATGATGGAAGTGTTGTAAGGAGGCCTGAAGACAAGGTCGTAAACGAATGACAACTGCTTCTGAAGATTCGATATCTGGAATTAACTGCCCGTCGTAACAGGAAAGGCTACTGCTCCGCCAGTTAAGTTCAGAGCTTGCAGCCGCCACTGGAACTGTTGCATCACGGCAAACAATATACAGAAGGCTTAATGAAAAAGGTCTTTATGCCAGAAAGCCAAGGGTATGTGTTTTACTGTCTTCACAGAAAAAGAGGAATCGCTTTAATTGGTGTAAAGAACATCAAAACTGGACTGAACATCAATGGTCCCATGTTCTCTTTACTGATGAGTCGCGGTTTAGTTTAACTGGTGATTCTAAACGTGTTTACATCTGGAGGGAGTCAGGAACACGAAATGATCCCTCGAACATTGTGGAACGTGACCATTTCGGTAGTGGAGGTGTGATGGTATGGGGTGGAATAATGATCGATGGACGTACGCCCCTACACGTGTTCAGCAGCGGATCTGTGACAGGCTGGATATATCGAGATAAGGTCTTAGATCCTTATGTAAGACTTTTCAGGGGTGCATATGGACCTGACGTTTTGTTTATGGATGATAATGCCCGTCCACATCGAGCAAACCTCGTTGATGAATTCCTTGAAAGTGAAAACATTAAGCGAATACCTTGGCCACCAAACTCTCCTGACCTTAACTCGATAGAGAACTTATGGGACTACCTTGGAAGAGCAATTGCACGTATACATCCTCCTCCTAGAGATGTAAATGCTCTGAAGACAGCATTGCTGGAAGAGTGGAGATTAATTCCCCAAACTGTGGTTAACAACGTTGTTTCCAGTCTTAAAACACGTTGTGATATGTGTGTACAAGTCAGGGGAGATCATATTCCATATTAAATTCGTAAGACTTAATTATTTTTCTGAATCATTCCTTTTTTTCTTAACTCTCTTTGTCACACTTTATTACTATTTTTATTGTTTCATGCTACAATTTTATATCATATGAGGTTATCTTCAATTTTTTCTTTTGCATTTATGTGTCACCATGTTATGTATGATTCCACGAAAATTCATTAAATTATAAGTCATAGTCTCTGAGAAATTCGTGAATTTATGCATGTAAACATATTTTTGGACATGAGTGTATTTCCTCAATTTAACAATAACTTCTAGTAAAAAAAAAATTAGGATTTGAATGTATTCACACATTTTTAATAAATCATAAGCAAAAAATACTTACACAAAGGCCAAGTTGACTTCATGATGAGACAAACCATTATAATACTAAAACAAAAAAAATTAAGTATTAGTTGAAAATTTTACATGATAAATAAACTGTTTATACATTATTTTACAGAAAAGTACCTTAAAGCTGGGTCAACATAAAATCGGTACTCCCATTCTGTCAACCAAATAATGAGAGCACTAATGATAACGATCACTGATCCAAGTGCATCTGCCAGCACATGAAGAAACACTCCTCGCATATTCATCTGACTACCTGATGCTGTAAAACAAAGGAAAAATTTACTTAAGTAAAGCCTTTAAAAAATATACTATGTTTAAAATTCATTTTACTGCACTTTGTTAAATGAAAAACATAATTTTGTTTAGAACTATTCTGAACCAGATAACTGTATAAGTTATGAAAAAATATAATATTTAACTAACATTTTTCGGTATTTAATCATGAACTTATCAAGAAGGAGAAAATACTATTTCTTCACTTCTAAAGCATCAATTGTGAGATATGCGTCTTAATCCCCTGAGAATGGCATGACTAGCTTTATCTGGTCATATGATTTTTTCTCATTTAATGTACACTACCTTATTTAAATTATTTTCTTATTTTTTTAAATGAAAACCGACTAAAATTATTAATTATGCATATTAGCAAAAAAATGCTGATTAAATACAGTTCTTTACACAGACCCAAAAAGCCATACCAGTCATCAAAATGTCATTAGAAAGGAGGAAGGGGGGAACTCTCTTTCTATAAAAATCAAATGGAGAAAAAAATTGCTAAAATGTATCTAACAAACTTTTTTTTTATTACAATATAACTATTTATTAATAGCAACAGCATCTTTCTATCAGTAGAACATTATTCATCATTATTTTTAAACATAAGAAATTTCAGTACTATTCGGTTTTGAGGGCCGTAAAAAATCGCCAAACTACTGTTGATGCCAGTGCTGCCAAAAATAATTGCTGCAATCCTAACGCAAGAAAGGAAGTACGAGGGCCATCCAGGAAGTAGATTACGTTTCCTTCTGTGTCCGCTAGGGGCGGGGCTAGCACGGCCATCTTGGGGTCAGAGCGTTGCGCAGCTCAGTCTGCATCTAGCCGTGCTAGTGAGAGGTTCGTGCTGTGCTCCGTTCAGATACTGTGACGGTTTGAAATGTCTGCGTTAATTGAAAATCCCGCGAGCTGCGAGGTGCGCTCAGTAATAAGGTTTCTGACTGCAAAAAACTGTAAACCGATAGAAATCTATCGGCAGCTTCGTGAAGTGTATGGGGACAACATTATCACTGAAGGTGGAGTGCGTCAGTGGGTCATAAGATTTCAAAATGGCCGAACCAATGTTCACGACGAAGATCGAAGTGGGAGACCCAGCATAGTGACCGCCGCCGAACTTCTCGAAAAAGTCGATGCTAAAGTCCGTGAAAATCGAAATTTCACAATAACGGAACTTTCTTTGAGTTTTCCACAAATTTCGCGAAGTTTGTTGCACGAAATCATCAGCGAAAAGCTTGGTTACCACAAGTTTTGTGCAAGATGGAAGGCAAGAAGAGGTAACGAAGTGGTTGAAGGCGCAGGCGGCCGAATTTTTCGACGAAGGAATTTCCAAGCTCGTACATCGCTACGATAAATGCCTTAATTTGTATGGTGACTATGTAGAAAAGTAGTATTTGAGTGTGGCTTTCATCTGTATATAATAAAATTTGTTTCCTATACTTTGTTTATTTTTTTATTCCAAAACGTAATCTACTTTCTGGATAGCCCTCGTATAATAGTTAATAACTATCTAAGATTGATGTTTTAATTTAGCTGAAAAGTTAATTTCATATAATACTTTTTTATAATTATAATTTATATAAAAAAGTCTAAACATGACTGAATGGAAGCATAAGAGTAAATAACCATTTCAGATTATTATTATAATTTATATAAAAATTGCTAAACATAACTGCATGGATGCCTGCATTGCTATTTCGCTATCGAGTTATCGCTAAAGCATAATTTCATTTCGTTGGTTGTTCAAACATAATTTTCTATGATGCCTTTTCTTTGAAAATATTCTCGGTACAGTGCAGAATCGCCCACTTATTTATTTGCCGCTTTTTACAAGGTAAAAACATTTGGATTTTTGTCAATTTTCTATTACATTTTAAGTGAAAATAGGTTGATGTGTACAGTCAAGGGGAGTGCACAGTGCCATTTTTGTGCAATTCTGGGAATTTTTTTTAAGTGAAAATAGGTCGATGTGTACATGGATACCGAGTATGTGCAATTCTAAAAAGCGTCAAGCAGTGGGTAATTCTGTACTTTACCCAAAATTCTATTGCAGAATTTTCATCATGGGCATTTCCCAAATTGTTAAATCCATAGGATATCAAACAAGGATTTAAAAATTAAGCTAGTATTTCAATGGCGTCTTCAGAAATATAGAACTATATAAACTTACGCAATCTGAAATCAGTGCATAGGCTAGATTTGGTGCTCTGTTAAATGGGCACGTTTGCTAGATTTGGCACTTTTGTGCATAAATTTTCGCTGCAATTTTTTTTACGGTCCTCAAAATGGAATAGTACCGAAATTTCTAATTATGAAAACTGTGATAAAATATCCCTAAAGAGAACTGGAAGACTGTTGTAACAGGGTTCGTACGCTTTTCTGCACATGGAAATTAAGTACTTTTAAGGACCATTAATGAAAAAATTAAGGACCTATGAGCAAATGAGAACTGAACAAATTCAATTAAAAATACTATCTGTGCCTGAACTTCACTTTTGTAATACCGTCTTAAACATGAAAGTAGGATGCATTACTATTAAACATAACTTAATTAACATAATTATTAATAAGTTATAGAATAAAATAAAACTTTATGAAATTTATCAAGTAGCATTAAATATTTTACACTTATAATAGTTGGACATATTAGAAAGTTATTAGGATTGTTGTTTTACTTCTAAATTAATAGTTAGCTTTATGTTGATATTTTTATGTCTCATTTTGGACAGGAACTAATGCAGCAAGTATGTGGAGAACAGAAACACACTCTGTCTTACACTCCATACACCTCAGTTTAAAAACTATCTAAGCGAATTGCATTCTGGTGAGAAAACAGAAATGGGAAATTATAGTAAAGGCTGAAATTATAAACAACTGGGTAATTTACATAATAATACCTGTACATACTAATAGCAGTACATATCTTTGAAGAATCTTTCTTCAGCATGTTTCCTTTTCATTTTAGAATTTAAATTAAAGATTTCTGTTATTCTAAAAACACTAAATTTAGAAAGCATAGAAAAAGCTGCTAATTTTATATCTTTAGTAATATGAACATTCAGAAGCAATATGAAATATATATGGTAAGGGCTGGTTACAGAGACGGTGTGGCAGAATTTTTAGAATTTAGTGACACACCAAGCAACAAAATCTAGAAATGGTAAAACTTTTAGAATTTAGAGTAGGCATTGGAAGCAGAATTTAGGATTCGCAGAGATTGCATCAGGTGGGAAAATGCCTAGTGCCAGCCCAGTGTATGATGCATTCAGACATATAATATGAATCATTTAAATTGTCAGTTTTCAATTTCTTTACTAAAAAAAAAAAAATCTCTTTCTACAATGCCTGCCCAAGTGATATTAGAAGCATTTTTGATATTTTCCATGCTTGTGTCTAGTGAAAATTAGAGAAAATAAAGGGAAGATAAGCATGTTAAGAAAAAGATTCTAGTATCAGAAGTAAAACATTCAAATATTATGTTTTCTTTGTTCTTCCAGACCTTCTCCAAAAAGTAAGAATTAGTTCTACTGAGGTGTATGAGTTTACCTGATAAGTTAAGTGTACTGAGCACTAATTTAGAATGAGCACAGTCTGGTAAAGCCTATAATATATACATACATGAAAAATATCTACACAATTATTGAAAATAAACGGGAATGAGACTAAAATGCGACAGCAAAAAATTCGCACAGGTCTAAGTAAAGATGAGTCAAGCTACTAATAAAATTCACTCCTAAAAACTACTCCCAAAAAATTCGAGATGCCAATATTAGGGCTTTCATAACACAAAACACACCTCACCCCTCAATACTGCTTTGTTTGAATTCATTCCCCCCAAAAACAATGGAAAACAGAAAACGTAAACAACGGATGTTCTCTCCTAAGCACAGATGTTCTGATTCGTAACAGCATGAAATAGCTAAAGGCGCAGTGTTCCCGCTAATGGAACATCCGGTTTTATTCAATGATTCTGCGTATGGGTTTTGTATGAGAGATTACAAATAATTTGGAGTACAGCCAGCAAAGTTATGCCTAATTTTTTTTTCCAAATAAAATTTTTTATATCATTAAAGAAAAGAAAATTACTTAAAAAAGTGAATTTTAATAACACATATTAAATCAAAATTCTGTGTCTTCTTGTGATATGCTGCTTTCTATTGTTTAAAAAGAAAAGTTCAAAGTATATTATAAAGGCATTTTTATCTATTTACGGTTGAATTTAAAGGTTTCAGAAGCGATTCAGTTTGGGTGTTCCATGTAGTGGAACACTGAGCCACAAAGAGTTAATTGAATTTGCCATATCTTTATTAATATCTCTTTTTTTACTAAACTTTTTTTATTTTTCCTTTCAAATTTCAAAATTTAGGTTCATTCCAAATAAAATTCACCCCTTTTTTGTGTTTTACTTTTAAAATTTCTATTTTAAAATAATTTTTATAATTTTTTTTGGAAAAAAATTTTGGATTATAATCTATAAAAATTTTAGCATCATCATAAAATAGATGGATTTCTAAGCATGCCTGCAAAAAATTAAGAGTTTTTTATTCAAAATTTCTGAAGATATACATATATTTACATACTGGCACATTTTGAAATTTGGTGTATTTGTTGAAAGTGATAACATCAAATGTGGTTTAGGCACTTTGTTAAAATTATTTGAAAGTTGGAACGATGTGACCTTTTCCCCCACTTATGCACGATGTAAAAAGGGAAACAAAAATAGGTTGCCATATATTAGGAAATTCACCAAGTGAATTATTCTTCACGCAAACTGAAAAGAATACACCATGATAAAGATTGAAATTTCTCTGTAAATTACAAACCACATTTTACAAAATTTAATTTTTAGGCATAATTTGAGCAATAGAATCGAAATATGGAAAAAAAATTGGTATGTTATTTCAGAAAAAGTCAGATTTTGTGTCAAAATGCTTATATCAGAACAATGCTACATATAAATCTAATACATGTCCTAAGTCGTGCGTTCAAGATATGAAAAATTCAATTGAATTTCGTCCATCAGCCCAGCAGAACAGGATATATAGAGCTGCCCCCATTTTTTTTTTTCATTGCACATACAGAGTGTGACCGCCGTTCAATATCGATAACTGAAAGATCGGTGCCTGTCCCCTAGACCAGTGTTTCTCAACCGCCGGCCCGAGAAATATCCAGCTATCTGTCCAAAATCCAAAGTATCATCAGGTGACAACTGATATTACAACATTTATGTGAAAAAATTGTGCCAATGAATCAAATTATTAAACTTAACGGTCCACGAGAACGTACTGAAATATTTTACCGGTCCTTGGAGTAAATCCAGTTGAAAACATTGCCTTACTGAAATAAACAAAAGTTGGTCACAGGCGATACCCATGGCTCTCAGCATGCCAACAGGACAGAAAAGATGAGAAGAATGCAGTTTCCAATATGAAACTATAGTTAAAATTTAATTAGTTGTGAAATTCCAATTGATTAAGAATGCAACAGTTTCACTTTATCCCTACTGGCTAATTTAGGTTTCAGTTCATAAATTTTAATATTATTGTTGGCTGACGCATTATACCTGCATCATTTGCATTGTATAAGAAATAGTATGCAAATGGTTAATTTTGAAGTGATACAGTTAAGAGGGATTTATTATTAGCACGTTACTATTTTTACGACAGAAATGGAAAATAACCATATTAAACAGAATTTAAATAGCTACTACAATTTGAAGTTAGGATTTTTTTTACACATATTTATTTTGGCAAATATATATAAATTTTCTGATTCACATCACAATTTTAGAAAATACTGTATTAGATACTTTGATAAAATTCAACAAAAACTAATTTACCCATTTGTCGATTCCCATGTGCATCTGGCACTGTATTTGGAAGGTTGTCAGACAATCTATAATTCTCATGATTTTCATTGATATCTTCTTCAGCAAGAACTTCTTCTATCGTTGGTAAACTACGATGATGAGCACGTCTATGACTATGCCCATGACCATGCTCTATAAAAAACAGAAGAAACACATATTAATCCAATAAACCACACATTATTTTGATCTTCTACAAAAATTTGATTTCACTGTTAAAATACTTTTTCACGTTGCATCATCCTGTCAGAGTTCAGTGACTGAGGCACCAATTGCGAAAGGGTTAATTAATACATAGTGCCCTCAAAGGAACAAATATATATTACCTATTTACGGATGCATTCCCAATTAGGAATACTTAATCTTCTGGCTGTTGAAAAACTTCTCATCCAGATATTTCTACATATTCTTTTTGTTTTGTTTTTGATTTGAAAAGCAAAACTTTGTCATATCTAGATTCAATTCCAATATTTCCCTCAAATGTAAATGCTTAAGATAAAAACTGAGAAATCTCTTGTTTGTACTTCATGCAGAAATTTCTTGATTAAGATCATTTGGTTAGAAAACATACAACTTCTTTCAACAACAGCAATGAATTTGCTGTAACTTACAATGACCTGAATAATTAACAGTAATATTTAAAAAATTATATTGAGATCAAAATCAATTTAAGAAAAAAAAAGAGAGAGAGAGATTTTATATTCCCATCAAACTTACCATTAAATGAGCAAAAATATAATAATTTTTAAAAATTTACATTTTAATTAAATTGCAGTACTTTTGTATTTTGTGGAAAAAAATACATTAAACTTACCATGAAAAAGGAAGAGACCAACAACATTAACCAATAAACCAGCACATCCTACATATAAAATAAGCTTTGGATTGTGGATTTCATCTACATCATACAAACGCTTTAGTGCTTCAATGAAAATAGAAAAACATAATGCTACTAAAAACACTGCATTCACTAAAGCTCCTAAAACTTCTGCTCTAGCCCATCCAAATGTATTTTTTGACCATTTCTTAGGTGACATCTGGAAGAAAAGTAAAACTTATATTGAAACAAATATAGCTTATCTAACAAGTCTGAAACAGATAAATTAACAGTTGTTACAGTGGGCCAAAACAATATTTGGCGATTTTAGATTTGCGCCAAGATCTTGGCTATAATTTTACGAGCTCCTGAAGTGCGAATGTAAAAATAAACAACATATTAATAACAATACTCATATGCTGTTTCCTAAAAATATTTTTAAGAATCATTATCTTCATCCTTATTGTTATTATTTAGTAACATGTAATTTTTCCATTCAATTGCAGCATTTTCACTCATATTCATGGACATCATCTCCTCTGCCCAAGAATACAGAAATCTACTACCAGTGAGGAACAATATTCTGAAACCACTGAACCAATTTACAACATGAAAGACTGTTAACATAATATTCACACACACACAAAAAAAAGCAATGAACATATTTTTAAATAAACAATGCAAATTAAAAAACTTCATTAAAGTTAATAATATACTAAATAATAATAAATTAATAATACGTGGTGAGAGCAAAAAAAAAAATGCAACACGGTATTACAATTACAGTAATATACAATTACAGTCAGTATAAGAACACACAGCCAGTGCTCACAAAAATTCCTACATTTTAAAGAATATATTCTCTTTATGTAACCTTTAAATAACAGTATGTTGTTATGAAAGAACCATGTTACATCTATTTCAGAATTTTTTAAAAATAATTTTAATTTGTCAATTTTAATTAATATTTTTAATTTGTCAATATTTGTTGTGGAACTGTACTTGAATAATCAGAAGCATAATCACGGTCAAAGAATACTTCTTTGCTTGAACATTTCTGATGTTTTCCCCAAACTGCACATAATAGAATTGCAATTTTTATTTTTTCAGTTCCATTAAAGTTTTGCTTGGTTTTTTTTCCACTGTTTTAGCAAAAAACCAACCCTGCTACCAAATAAACAGTGGTAACTTATTGCAAAATAATTTGTTGGACTTTCATTTACCATATAATCACTTCTTTAATAATCAGTTTAATATAAGAGTTTTGCACAGAGCATTATAATAGATATATATAACTTCAGGTTTCATTGAAATAAATAATTATGTATCATCTTTTACACCAAGTTTGCAATAAAATATTTTTTTGTGTTCAAATGGTCTATTTTAATATGTGATCTCCAATAGTTCATGTTAAGCCATCACCATTCAGTCAGATTTATGGCAGAAAATTATAACAACCGTATGAATATTTATACATACAAGAATACTTTGCATACTGCAGGAAAATGGTTCTGCAATTATCCCAAAATGTTTGAAATGAACTAACTGAAAACCCAAAAATAAATGGCTCAAAATAAAAATAATTCTTCTATTTTTCAATAAATAAAATGTAATAAATAAATGTCTTAATTTTTTAATGCCTGTTTTTGTAATTAATTTTTTTCCTCTCAAAAACTGCAATATTGTTACAGTTACTTTCCTATTTTTAAACGCTTCCTCTTTAAGCATTTCTGTGCAGCAACAAATAGCAATGTTATCATTATAAGGTTACATTCAATATTGCAGAGGTGAGCAATATCTGCATTCATATGACAAGACTTTTTGCTTGAAATTGTCTCACGATCTACCTACTATAATTTTGACATTTAAAACCTTCAAAACTTGTATCTCATATATTAATAAAAGACAGTACGGGGAGCAATATATTTTATTAATTGAAAAATATAGATTACATTTTTCTGAGAAGTCTGCATTTCATATCTCAATATCATATATAGAGTTAACCAAGCATTATTCATAACCTGATATATAATCAGATATAGATAAATGATAATGAACCTTCAATATGGAAATCAGTAAGTAAGAAAGGATGTTCAGTATTTCCTACTTACATCTTTAAATAAGAAAATTTTAAATACAAAAAAGCTAATTCACAGAAACACATAGGTCCAAAACAAAAGTTCATATGTTCGCTACTTAGTCTTATGTGGAGACTCCTGACAATTTCCAAAAAATCTTCCTTGTATTCTCTCACTAGTAATATTAGATCATATTGTGCAGTTCTAATTTCCTTTTTAAATGCATTTTTTTCAACATGCATCATTTGTCAGAAAAGTTCCAGGACGAAGGTCAAAAATAGAAAATTGCATTAAACCAAGTAATGATCCTAGATGCTATTAAAGTAGTCCCTTTGGCTATCTATACACAACTGCCAACATTTCTGGAGGTCTTGGAGGCAAGCAGGAAAATCTTCAACTGCGAAGCTTGCAGGCTCATTTGTCCTAGCCCATTGGATGTCTGCAATAATCTTGATGAAGCTTTCCTTTCTGTCACATTTTCAAGCATGGAAACAAGAATAAATCATAATAATCTTTGACACAAATGTGGCTCTATCCAATAGTTTGGCAGAAACACGGTTTTCCTCTTTCCGTTGATTCGTTAGTGAGTGAAGGACAATTCTTACTTTAAGTTTTCGTTTCCCTAAATCTTTATGTAAAATCTTATAACACACATCACGATTTAAATTCAGTTCTTCTTGTATCATATGCACAGTTACATGACAATCTTCTTGAAATAACTGTTTTACACGCTCCGCGTTTGCATCAGTATGTGCTACAGACAGACAAGCAGCTCTGGGATCGTCTTTCACTGAATCTCTGCCTTGACAAAACCTTTTTTTTTTGCCACTTGAAAACACGACTTCTTGAAAGTGCCCCCCCCTGCATATGCTTGCTTAATCATGTTCCATGTTTCACTAGTTTTCCTGAGCTTAACCCTGAATATATAATTAAAATTTCGGGGCTTTTGTGGGCGACTGGACTTATATGGAAAGTAAATTTTGTTTTGTATGAATTAATGCTATTGATAATTTTAATTGGCTTGTTGTTCCTTTGCAATTCTAAATTTAAATCACTAAATTACAATATAAAATCTGTAAGAAATGCTAAATAACTGAGCCAAGTTTTATTTAAATTTAATGATTTGCAAGAATTTTTTTATCTCAGTTAATAAATAAATAAATAAATAAATAAATAAAAAAAACTGCTGCAGAAATTTACTTCTACTTAGCTACTTTACATTAGTATATAATAATAAGTCTGGTAGTTCGTCATTACAATATGCTTGAAAGAGATGAAAATGGAGGGAACTTCCTTGAATGGTATTACAATTTTGAATGCTATGACTATTACTTCTTTTGCATTTACTCTTTTGCTGGTAACACTTAATGATGAATTATGCAATGACAGCCCCAAAAATTGAGAATTTGTCAGTATTATCCTTCTCCATCTGCTGTTACTGAAACTAGTTTAAAAAGTATGAGTTTCAAATTAGTGAGGAAGTTTTAAGAGTTATGACATCTTTAATCCTTTTTTTCACAGAAATCATACCCAGCAATTCCTCTCTGGATATATAATTTTTAAAAGCCATGTGAATAAAAATAAGCAATTTTATATCTGTTGGTTTGACAAACTGAAAGGAAAAACAAAGTCTAGTAATGTTATATTACCATCTGAGCTGCACAGGTTTTTGGATTTGTCATGAAGACCTGTATTTATGCAGTATTTATTAGCTAAATTTATATAATTACTTATTTTAACCTCTATTTTCATAAACTTGCATTCATTAAGATTACATTTGCATTATTAAAGAAAGTAAGAAAGCAAAACATCTTAAGTTATAAGCTAATATGTATCAAGTGACAAAAAATCTCATGACCGGCGGATAAAGCCGGTCATGCCATTCAGAGGGTTAATGTTCTCTGATATTTTCCCTTTTTTTTTTTTTTATTCACTCAATTAGTATTTCAAGACATTTTGTGTGATGACCATGTATGCGCAATTTAGACGAACGGTGTACAACGCCTCTCTCTCTCACGCAACTCGCATTAGAAGAGAAGGAAGTAATGAAAGCAACACGCAGTATGCTAGCATACTAATGACACATACGGTACATTTTTTTTTGTTAACTATTTGTTTTGTTTGTGTGTTAATAAAGTGTTTGTCTGTTAAATGTCTGTTTTATGCAATGCCCACATTACGCTCACGTTTACATTAAGAAGGAAGAATATATCCAGTACCCACGCAAAAGTAATATACAGTCAAAAGTCTTTAATCCGAACGTCCATAATCCGAAATGATCTATAATCTGGACCTCAAAGCTACAAAATTTCTGTGCATGCGTAGCGTTTACGCATGCGTGTTTTATGTATAACGGACGGTATAAGCTAAGCTAAAATTATCTAATTCAGTTAATGTTGCAGACTGCGTTGTTCCTTAATCTTCTAATGGAATACAGCTTATTATTTTTTGCAGACTGTTACAGCAATTTTATAAAAGTAAGCTTGAACTTTGGATTATGTCAAAAAGAATTTCTGATTCTGTAGCTGACAAAGGATCTACAAAACGAAGGCACGTTTCGATGTCCATCAAACAAAAAGTGGAATTGCTGCAAAAAATGGATGTTTCTCTAACCATTCCAAAATCTGATCAATTTCACGCTGCTCTGTGGGGGCGGGGAACATCAAGGTGTGCAATGAACTGGAAGTTGATCTGTCAGCATCATCCTCATCTTCAGGGCAGATGTTTTTACTTTATTCGGCTTATAATTCCTTACTAAATGTAGTATTTCATCTCGATGTACTCTGTCTTTGATATGATTTAAATCAAATCTATCGTCATTATAAATATCACGAATACACATCAAATAGTTTTCTGGTTGCAATTTTCTAATTCTGACTATGCGTAATGTATGCTTTACGCATGCGCGCGTTGAAAAGAAATGTTTAATAAAGTAAACAAATAAATATTAAGCGCTTTTTTTTTCGTAAATTTTGATACCCTTTAGATCATTATTGTTCTTTATTTTTATAAATTACGGTTTCATATTTTTAATTTTATAATTTCTGCATGCCATCTTACCAGATTTAAATTGATGATCTATAATCTGGAATCGCTGAAGTCCCGACTAAAGACTTTTGACTGTATAACATTTTGTAAACTTTTAATTGCAGTACTGATTATTGTCTTGTTCTTAAAATTATTAAAAAAAAATTTGATATTTCCTGTACAGTTTCTTTTATAAATTCCTCATCAGAAAATAGTTTATATTTTTTCCCCTTAAAATACAGTTTGCTTTGAATGATGCAACAGGCACTGCAAATGATTTCAGCATAAGCTTTTTAAGAACATTTTGTTCAGCTCGAGTTTTTAATATCTCCAATTTTAATTTTTATCAAGCGACTACTTTATGAATAATTTATTGCTATTTATTACCTTTTTACCAGAGACATTGCATATTAAGTAATATTTATCATTGTAAAATGTAATCAATCATGTTCCCATTCTTTATGAAAACAACAAGTTGCCAATGTGTTTGGTTTTTTTACTTATTTTAATGGGCAATGAAATTATAAAAAAAATAGACAAATTTCAATTTAAAACATAGAAGGAAGATACTTTCCTTTTTATGCAGCAGTTAGGTTAAGGAAAACTAACATTGTTTCTAAAAATGCTGACGTAATGTTACTAGTATGGAGAATATAAAACATTAAACAAGGGCACAAGGATTCAACTTTATGTATTGTTACACAGGAGCATTAAAAGAGAGTGTGTTGAGGAGCACACTAGATGAAATGTTGAACAATAAACGAATGGCATACGAAATTATTTACATAATGTATGATGTTTTCATACTTCTTATATTGCTAGCCATAATTCATCCCCTGCTTCACTTTTTTTTTTTTTTCAAAATGTTTCTACGTTATGGCTCTTTCAAAAATTTTGCTAAAAGCAAGCACATTTTCTCCTATTGTAGCTTTTATGACTTATGAAACAGTGAGCTAAAAAAATGTAAATATATTCTGCATCACTTGATTTCTGCATAAAAATAAAATGCACAAAAACAGACTGTTGTGTAGTCAAAAACCAATTACTTATGTATTACAAATAATTTTATGTACTCATTTGTTAGAGTTTATTTTTACTTTGCTCAATTAAAATTTTGTTTTGAAATTTTCACACTAACTGAAGCCAGATTATGCCAGGTACTGTTATATGCATAAAATATACTTAATAAAAAAAACTTTAAGTATGTCTGGTTTCATCATACTTGAGTCAAAAAATAAAAAAAACTTTTTTAAAAATTCAACAGTCATAATTCTGATACATAACATATAAAGCACTTATTTTCAAAATTTTATCTTACCTGAACCGATAAAAATGCTATAATTAATGCTATTACATCTGATAGCATATGAAAGGAATCTGCTACTAAAGCTACAGAATTTGTTATGTAGCCAACAATAATTTCTATAAAAAAGAAACCTGTTGTTAAAGTGAACATGCTCATCAGGCGACATCTTTTCCCTGAATACCTTCCCATGATTCAAAATAAAATCCTAGAAACGAAAATAAATACATAAATATACATTAAAATTCAAATATTTAGATACAAATCCTGATGATTTCAATTATTTTTTATTTCCATTCATAAGCTAATTTTTGGTATTTAAAAAATGGCACAATTTTTAAAGAATTTTATTAAAAATATGAAACTTTAAAAATTTAAAGAAACATAACAAAAAAAATCAGGGAACAGCTTGAGTATAGGACCCCATTGGCGATTTTTGGGCTTGGCGACTCAAGCCATGGAAAAGCCGATAAAATTGAAAACACAAGTTAGAAAGCACGTTTTAACCAGAAAAAATTTTAGAATATATGTTTAAACAGCAAATTTGAAGGTACATAAGTAAGTAGGGGCATATTTTAAAATATATTGGCAAATTAAACTGTAAATTTATTATATTTTATTGCATATTGTAAAATCAGTTAAAATTGAAACTAGATGTTAGAATGCACATTTTAACAAGAAAAATTTTAAATACAAATTTAGAACATATATTTAAACAGTGAAACTGAAAATAATTAAATAAATGGAGGCATATTTTTAGCGGTCATACTGAAAATACAAATTACAAGCTTTAAAATTAAAAATAGGAGCTCAGAATAAATGTTTAAATTAAAAATATCAAAATAGGAGTTAAGAATGCATGTTTAAATTAAAAGTAAAGAAAAGTTTGAAAATACACAAGTACATGGAGGCATATTGTAAGAAGCAATATTGAAAATGCAAGTTTTAAGTTATAAAACTGAAAACAGGAGTTCAGAATACATGTTTAAATTAAAATTAAAAGAAATGCTGGAAATGTAGTAAAGTTTACAAAATCATGGTAAATTTACAAAGAAATCCTATACTCTGCCCAATTTATGTCCCTTACAATTTCTAGAAATTTGTTGAATACATCAATATTTTGCTCCTTCGAAGAAAATGACACTTTCCAGTTTAAAACACACGGGAATGCGACAAGGTTGCCAAAGTGGAGTACTCTAGAATTTACTGGGTTACCAGAAAAACAACCATCCAAAAAGTGCACCAAGCAAAAATCGCCAATGGGGTCCTATACTCAAGCTGTACCAAAATCAGTTTTTCACTTACTCTTTTCAGCAAAACTGGAAAAAAAAAAATGTCTTTTAAGGGTGGGGTAGCTTAATTTTTTTTTTTTTTTTTTTTTTTTCAATCTCGTAATTCGCAACACATTACATATACTAAAATGGCTCTAAACCAGGAACCTTTTCTTACACTCCTACAAACATCATGCATATTCACTTATCCTTACATCGCCATTCAAACCCATCCATAATACTCTTCCTGTCACACAAATGCATATTATTACCACATTTCAGACAAAAAAAAAAAAAAAAAAAAGTAGCTATCAAGCCAACTTTCATACACTATTCAATCATGGCACATTTCTCTTACACTTCTCATAAAGTAAAAAAAAAATGTTGATGTACTGTCCCTTACCTCTTTCAGTATCACTTCTTTTGCTCTTCCAATAAAGTAATAAATGTTGATGTACATTCACTCACCTCTTTCAGCATAACAGATAAATTTGCAGTGATTACTTATCTAATAAAATGTAACCAGAAAAAATGGCAATAAAACTCTACTTGAGAAGAAAATCGAACAGCAGAAAAACAACCACCACATGAGAAAAATCTAATGGCTACTAAACTATTGAAGTTAATAGTTAATTTCAAATATACTGTTAGGGTCACCTCAGTTAGCTAATAAAATAGCTGGATTAAAATAATAATAATGGAAAATATGCAAACACAAAAATGGAAGCTCATTTTACAACTTCAGAAGAATATCAAGGCTGCAATATTTGACATGCTTATTGCTTATCCAAAACAAGTCAAGCAGGGCTAAAGCACGGCCAAAGCACATATGGGCCTTCAGAACTTTTTCTAAAGTTAAATTAGGGAGTCAGCTTATATACAGATCCATTAATAAAAAATCCATTAATAATAAAAAAATATATACTTTTCCATTAGCCAAGAGTAAGTGATCATTGCCACATATCCACTTCTTTGTTTTTTTTTTTTTAGTTTACAGAATAGAATACCAGAAACCATAATGCTTGAGACCAGAGGTTATGTGGATTTTAGGACAGAAATGATAAATCATAATATTTAGATGAAAAGTGTAAAATAAATAAGGACATTTAGGATACATACAATAAAAGATGCATGAAAATACGGGACATTAACAAAGCATAAAAGGCGATTTTTTTTTTTTACATGTTTCAAACATTTTTCTGGTAGAAATTTATTTTAAAACTTCAGAAAGCTCCAGAGAAGATTCCTTTTTTTGTAAATTATACACTCATAATTTTAAATTTTAGGTATTTTCATCAGGTTCCAAATTTTCATTAAAAGATATCTTTTCATTCCTATCAAATTCATTATCAGTGTCAGAACAGTTTTCTTGCTGTGTTGAGTTCAAAACAGAACCAATAATTTCATCATCAGTCATCATCATCTTGTAAAGCCTCCTTATTTGTTATTTCTTTCGAATATAGAAACAATTCTGCTTTAACCTTTGCCGCACTGACCCTAAAACCACAAAATTCAATGTCACAGCTTAGTTTCAATAAACAGAGAAGATGGCCATATATTACGACAGACATTATTAATGTTGTTTGAGAAACAGAATTTGATGATTTTGATAACAAATAGATGTAGTTTTTGATGATGAGTTTTTTTAATAATCAAAAAGTGAAAAATTGATTTTTTTTTTTTTTTTTTTCTTCCAGAAACTGATTTGTAGTAGCATTTAATACTGTGTATTATATCCTGCTCCATTGGTTGCATCCATGATGTAATGTTTGGAGGCAAAAAAAGGGCCACAATATTATCACATGTTAAAATTAGTCCCTATTAGGGAGAGGAGAAAAAAAAAAAAAAAAAAAAAAAAAGCCTTTTCACTTAAAACCCGAATAAATTCAAAGCTTAAAATTTTCATAATTCAAACATTCTGAAACATTATGCTTAAATGCAAAAATAAATGATTGAAAAAAATGTGCAAATTCAACTGCCACAATTTTCAAGGAAGATAAATACTGTATAAATAACATCAACCAAGCACTTTTAGAAAAAATCATTTAACAGGTTTAAATTTAGAGCTGAGTAGAATGTAACTAAAATACGATGCAAAGTTTCAAGCACCTGCTTTTCAGTATATAATTGTCTAATACGTATCTATTACATGGAAACAAGATACGTAGAACAGAATACAACTAAGCTAACATAACTCAAGCACAATATTTGCATAATGCTCTCTCTCAAAATACAGAGTTTAAATTATTAAAATTAATTAACAAAAACAGCAGTTATCACAGTAACAGGTATTTATATCAAGGTCTGAAATTTAAACAATTACAAAGTTTTTTAAAAAATTACAGAAAATAAGGGTATGCAAATATAATGAAAAAAAGGGAGTGCATTTTACATTATTAATGAATTCTACAATATGTAACACCAAGAAGACAACACAATACTGTATGATACTAACAATGCATATAAAATGAATTATTTAAGTCAATCAAGTCATTTTTTTTAACTGCAATAACAACTTGTCTCAGGAAGAAATCAGTAACTCTGCAATATATAGATAAGATCAAATGGAAATATTTATTTCTATTTAAATAGTTTTTTTTTTCATTTGATTAATTAATGCGGTAATAATCTGATTCATACACTAATAAAACGAATTTGCAATAAGCTAAAATCCGGAATTTAAAAGAAGAGCATTTTCATGTGATGAAACCGAAACCTATTCACAAGTATTATCTAATCTTAAATCTAAACTAAATTTAACAACCTGGATTACCTGAAATGCAATCTAGTAAGATAATGATATCTTCCACGTTACTAAGTTCAAGACACACACTCAAATAAGCATCTACATCGAGTTTCGTTCAACACGAAAAACCGAGATTTTGCACACATCACTCCTTTTGCACCCAGCATGCTCAAACGTTAGTAACAAGTTATTGTTCCTGAACTTTTGCACACGTTTTCACGTATAGGTTGAAAATATAATCTTCTTTAATTACGTGATAATATGATGATCGTTTTGAATGCGAACGTTTGGAATAAATAATCGTACACACAAAACGAAATCAAATCCACGAAACTATAAATATTACATTTGAATTTTTCTTTGTTATGTTAACAGCCGCCCGGCGGTTACGGATTCATTGCAACAAGGGGTAATTTAGTCTGGGAAAAGAAACATTCGCAGTATATAAAATCCACTATTATTAATAAGACATTTCAAAGATTTGTTAACGAAATGAAATATTATTCTTCGTTCTCATAAATTTAGTCAATTTCCACAAAACCTAGATATTCACATTGTAAATACTGTTTTCATATTGTATTAAATTTTTCCTCTCGTAATGTATTCAAGTTGACGTTCCATTTTCCATTCAGTTCAATTTCAGAATAATTTAAGTGAAGGATGTCACTTTTTGCGCTTAATCGTATGCTGTTGGCAATGTAAACCTTGTACAAAATCATTCTCTTATTCCTGAGCAGTGTTTGAGCCAGTCATCCGAAAGTTCAATCACTAAGCAGGAACCTTCGTTGTCTGAACAGGAAATTAAGATAAATGTTGATCGATTAATGATACTCTCACTAGGAAAGCAATATTGATCTTGATCTATAAATGTTCTGCAACATTCGTTGCTTTGGTAACCAATGAATTTATCTTGATTAGATCTTTGACCTTAATCTGACATTGGCTTCACTTATGAAACATCATATTGAAAAGTTTTGAGTGCAGAAAATTCAGTTCTACTTCATAACTTCTTGGAACAGCCTTTTTCTATAGATAATATGTCACCTATTTACAAGAGCATATACTGAGTTCTTTACTCAATCGCCAGCCATATTTGCAAAAATATTTCTAATAAATTTCAAACTCATAGAACTCCTGAAGACCTGCAAACTGACATTCTTCTCAGTTTATTTTCTACATCTTTGCTAGCCTCTAGAGCTACTGGTTACCCCATAGAAAATCACTAGTATTACTATATGTGTATATTGGCCAGATCAGTTATATCTCTATGTAAAAGAAAAAAAAGAAGAAAAAAAAAAAAAATCTGAAATGTTTCAGATTTTAAATTACGTCCAAAGCGGCGTTTTTTAACATTTTGTGTGTTACCTTTCTTTATTAAATATCATGTTCCTCGCACTTAAAAAAAACCATAAGATCCAGTGCAACAGCAATATCGCAAAATAGTTTTAAAACGAGCATATCTTTAGAATTTCCGATACAGAGACTCACGCGCTGGAGATAAAAATGTTTTTCTGCACAACGTTGCCATTGCTCGCTTTGAAATCCTTGAGTTTGTTAATCAAAAATTCGTCAAAGTTTTAAAAAATAGGAAATCGATCATAAAACAAATTTCAAATTTCAAATTTGGTCTTCCACATGCTCATATTCGTTGGAGGATTACGTTATTCAAAATTCGATGACTCTATGTACCGTTGTTTTATCACAATACGAGAAATATACATACATTTATGCAGATTTTTCATTATTTAATTTCTTCAAATATAATGCAGGACTCTAACATTTTGTGTCAACAGTTTGAAAAGTGAACCGACATTTATGATCCGACGCGTCAAAATGCCAAAACGAAACTAATAGTCCTTCGGGATTCAAATCCCTTTGGACTAAAAATTGACCTCTTTGAGCAATTTTGCAATTGCTCAAACGCTGCTGATATTTTAATTTTGAACAGCCTTTAGTAAAAATCTGAACTAGCTTATATTTATTTATTTATTTTTTTTTTCTTTATATTTTTAAGCAGAAACGTTTCCTAAACATTTCTTATTGCTCGAATCCTTTTTTTTACTAATAGTGGGCTCTAGTCGTTTCTAGGCTTGTCACTACTAAGTCGTTGTCACTACTAAGGCTAAGGTTAGTCGTTGTCACTACTAAGGCTGGAAACTGTGATCTCTTTATTATAGAGGCACCTAATAGGTGGATTACCGTTGTCTTCTATGAAGGAACGGAAAAATTATATCCGTGTCTTCTCCGTGATTCGATGTCAGACCATACGCTACGGTAGTCAGAGTCACTAACCGCTTTGCCGTCTGGGCGTCGCTGAATATTTTTAAAGTATAAAATTTTAAGAAACACCAGAGTAAATTTGGATTTTTAACTCTAACAAATGATAACACGAAGATATAAAATAAACGAAACGAACATTTATTCCAGTTTTTATATCATGCCTATATAAGAAACTTTTTCAGCTTTCTTAATCTAACCCCTCAAAATTCCTGAACGTTTTCAGGTTTTAACGGTAGCCTAAAAGGGTTTGTTAGGGTTTTATTTGCTTTTGCAGCGCTCGCAGACTGCCAGTCCGCTTTTGCACTCACTCTTGCTAATTCACTTTTTGGGGGGGGGTCTTTATAGCTTTACTATTAAGCATCGTTTTCTTCGCACTTATGTCACATATAGTTTAACAACAAAATCATAAAAATTTTAAGCTGCATAGTAACATATGCTTAGAATCGCCGATACATTGTTGAGTGTTGGCATAGATTTTCCTGTTTCATTCACACTTTTCTTAGTTCACCATATCAATATTCATTTTTCTTAATAGACGGCTAACAATGTAATTTTTTGATATTTTATTACTAACATTTTATGTGTTAACTTTATTTATTATTTAATACGGTCTTCGGACTTGCGCCATATAAAATTCAATAAAATATTTAAAACATAGTATCTTAAGAATCCCTGATAAACCGTCAGCAGTAAGCAGAGCTACTCAGCCGACGGAAATAGCGTCGCAAAAAAGGGGCGTGGTAACCGCCATCTTGGATTTTCCCGCTAGCGAAGTAGACGGTTTTGAATAATGTCATACACGATAGTTTTATTTTTGTGGCAAAACAATGCTTTTTTCAAAGTTTGGAAGCCTCCTCCGTATGCCCTTTGCAATGAAAATGAAGCCACGAAACGTCAGAGTACGACGTCAATACTTATCATGGCCGCTACCATAGGCGGACATCCCTTTGGTTTTGTTTACATTCTGATTCGTGTTATCTACAAGTTGACCATCATTTTTGAATGAAACTATCATCCTCGAATGATCCTTGAACGTTAAATCTCCCTTCCTAATTTTAATACTTAATATAAATAATTCTCTACTTCTTACATAGAAAAATCACGAGGACTGCAAATAACCACTTAATTCAATAAAATCTATCTACATAAAAATGTGTTATATGACATGCTGAAAGCTAGATAACCATTCCAAGTTTCAGCAGTATTTTACACAAATTCTGCTTAAAGACACATATCTAAGCCCCGGACCAGGGCCGCGCCAGAGCAGATGCAACCTGTGCGGCTGCACTGGATGGCAGAATTTAGGGACGGTAAAATTTTTAGATTTAAAGAAGTACCGACAACAATTATTGACGAGGAAAATTCTTTTAGAATTTAAGGAAAGCACTGGATAGCAGAATTATTAGAATTTATAGATGCATCGGGCAGAAACATTTAATTTGCAAAGTACATAGTGCCGGCCCTGCTTCGGACATTGACATTTGCTCTGAAAGTCAACATAATTTTATTTGACAATGCGTTTCGCTCTCTTGTCCATACGCTGTAAGGTAGGCATGAGAAGTCGTGATGTCACGTTGTTGACATTCCCTTGGCTTCATTTTTGTTATGTAATGCTTACATCATCTGCTGTAACCTCCTTTTTTGCGACAGCCACTTTTTTGCTTTTATGGCAACGACCTCTTGATCCGCGTGTTTAAGATGACATCATCAGTTTCTCATTTGGGCATACTTTTTACAAAATAGCGTCAGAAGCATGAAATCATACATAATTTGTTTGAGCATGTTATTTTACAGAATAGCGACTGCCTTGTTATACCTTTATATGCTTCTGCTTAGATAAATGAATACATTTCTGTGGATCAATCAGACTGTCTGAAAGAGAATCTCACCGCCTCTTAATCAGTCACCATTCTGATGAAAACGAGACTTCTTGCCTAATATAGAGCTATTCTGAGAAACATTCAGCACTTCTTTTCTTCTTGAGCGTGCACAATTTTTTGCTTTTACAATCGACTATCATTTCTAATTTTTTAACAGAGTTCTATTTCATTCTTGACAGCTTTAAATCTGAATCAAGGATAGCAACGAAATAACAACGCTAAAGATGTACGTAACGTTTAGAAAACAATACTTTTCTTTAGAATTTAATTTTTTTTTAAATTTTATTTTTCAGGTAGCAATGTGTTCAAAATTACCCTTTACCTTTCAGATGGATCGGGAAAACATGTTTGAATGTTAAATTATGCCTTTGAAACCACATATTGTTGAACATTCGAGACTGCAACATTATTCAAACACAAGACAATCGGATTTACGAATATACCCTTGTACCAAAATAAAATTAGAAGAAACAAGCCATTTAGAGAAGAAAATCTGATGTGTACACCACATGACTTCATTGTACGGAATATTAAATTATACGCATTTTTTCTTGCATTTCTTTTAAACTTATTGGATTGAAGCAAATCACCTTCGTCGATAGCGCATACACCACAATAGAATAAATGCACTCTTTAAAATTCACTATATTTATTTACTATAGTGACACTTTGGCGCTAGGTTCACTTAACAGCGTTACATTTCGTTCATGTCAGGACTCAGAATGCATATGAATTTATATCATTTGAAGAATTATGTAATCGTTGCCACATGTTCTATTCAAATACTATAATAAATATAAAACGATGTATAAAAGAAATTAAGCAAACAGCAATAAAAAAGAAACAGTTTTTCGAAGGCGTTATCTTTGTTGTTTCGAAACTTAGTTTCTCTAGATTGTCAACAAATCTGCTATTTTGCTAAGTTTGAAATGTAAACAAACATTGTGCTATCATACGAGGTCCGCCATGTTCCAAAAAAGCTGGTTGCCGATTATATTAGCTCCTTAAAACCCGAAAAAGCGCCAGATGTTGGTGGTATTTCTACCAAAGAGTTGAAACATCTTTCTATCAATGCCATCACTTGTCTTTACTAAGATAATCAACTCTATCGTCAAATTCTCTTACTTTCCTAATATATGAAAACATGCCATCATCATCGTCTTCACAAAATCGCATCAAAATTCAACGTTTCCCCAGAACTACGCCCAATCAAC